CAATCAAAAAACCGGTAATTTTTTTTTTTTTTTTTTTGTTGTTTTTTTGCTCGCTCTTTTTTTTTTTTTTTTTTTTTGAAAATCAAACGGGGAAAAAAACGACGACGACATTTCGTGATGAATCAATGATTTTTTTTCCATACCTAGTGTTTAACTGGAAACAAAACAAAACAGAAAAAATCGTGATCACATTGTTTTTTCTTTCCTGAATATCACCTATTTTTTGTTTTTGTTTTTTGTTACTTACCCGAGTAAAACATTTTATCATCATCATTTCGCCTATGTTGAAACCATCATCCATATATCAATTTTCAATATTTTAAGAAAATATTATTATTATTTCGGGTTTGATATGATTCATTTTTCGATGATGATGATTCATTGTTTTGGGTTTTGGGTTTTGCTAATTTTTACACACTTAAACGAGATTAAATTTCTGTTGAGATTAAATCAAATTACGACAAAATATTTAATTACTTATCGATCATTTTTCTTGATCCTATCGTTTTTCTCTTTCAATATTGATTTGATTTTGTTTTTTGTTTTTTTTTCTGCCGTTAATTGAATGGAAAAAAATGCCAGTGAACTTGGCTGATCATACAGATGCGCTGTTTGTTAATGTTGATTGTAATTTTTTTAAACAAATAGGAAAAAAAGGATGATGTTAAATGATCAGATCATTTCCTATACAAGTTAAGTGATGCTTGCGTTGTTGATTGCACTTGTTGACAATTTGCCAAAAAATTTTTTTTAAAATTTTGATGATTGAAATGAGATATATTTACAATGTAAAATCTTCTTTGGTTGTTTACAGAAAGACAGGCACATCGATAATGAAAAATTTTCTGTTTTTCAAAATTGAATTTTTTCCCGTTGCAAATGGAATGATGGATGTGACTGATTGTTTACGGTAACCCTTATTTTGTTTTAATTGAAAAAAAAGTTAAATTTAAAATTATAAAATGAGAAAAAACAAAAATTCATAATTACTCGATGATGAACTGGATTTTCTTTCATTTTGAAACGAGTTTTCTTTCCGGATTTCCAAGCCATTTTCATTCATTCGTTCGTTTGTTAGTTGTTTTTTTCACCTAAATATTAATGATGATCGATTTAAATTTGATCGATCGATCGATTATTGATCAATGATTGATGATCTTTTAAATTGGTTTTTTGTTTTTTGTTTTTGAAATGGAAATTTCGGTATGAAATGGATGATTGAATATGACAGGTTTCAATAATTTTCGTTCAAAACATTCGATCAATCGAATGTTTTGTTTGTTTATTATCAAAAAAAAATGTTACTATTTTGAGATTTTTTGGCCGATTCGATCGAAATTGATTCGAATCCAATTTTCTGTTTTTTGCTGGTCTGGTTTGTTTTTCGATGATTGACATTTCTGGAACTATAACAAGAAAAACTTTGAAATATTTTGTTTTTGATTGAGTTTTTTGTTGGAAAACAAAGTTTGTTTTTGCTGTTGTTGATTTCACTCACTAACTCTATCTTTTTGTTTTTGTTTTTTTTTCTCTTTTTCACCCACCTCGGTCCCTCATTACATCATTATATACACAGTATTTCGACTTCGAATAATCGAAGAAAAAACAACAACAACAATATTGGAAAAAATTCAAATCAAATTAAAATCAATCAATCGAAAATAAAAACAAGATAATGTTGACCATAATGATGATATTTTTCAATGTGATTCATTGATTCAAGTTTTTTTTTGTTGTAAAATACCATTTTTTTCGCCTGAAAATAACGAAATATTATTCTAAAGAAGAATTGTTGTTTTTTTTTGATTCTTGAAGAAAACTTTATCGAAACCTAACAACAACAAAATGATGAAAACATTCGAAAAATTTCGTCTAGCATTTTGGAATGAAGATATTTGGACACCACCAAATGCAACATGGCAATTATATGAACAAAATGATTATCGTCATTTTAATGATCTTTATTATTCAGCATATACGGCTATTATTTTAATTATAATACGTATAATTTTTAATCGGTATGTATCATTATTTTTATAATAATAACCGCTAAATCAAACATTACAAACACACCCAAAAGAAAAATATAATAATGTTTGCGGTTATTAATTTTATGTCATATGAATGGGTGTTTTCCTTGGTTTTTTGTTTCGTAAATAAGGTCTATAATTTGATCATCAAAAATTTCTGTTTTTTTCTTTTCTTTTTCTGTCATTTTCAGTTTTATATTCATACCATTGGGTATTTGGTTAGGTTTACCACCAAAACGACCAAATCCACCAACAGCTAATAAAACATTGGAAGAAACATATCGTCAAACAAGAGGAAAATTATCCAATGAACAAGTAGGTGTTTGATAGATAGATATTTGAATCTTCTTCTGTTTTTTTGGAATTTTCATTTCAATTTTTTTGTTTTGTTTAGCTTTTAGGATTATGTAAACAATTGGATTGTAATGAACGGAAAATTCAAAGATGGATGCGATTACGTTCAGCACAAAGTAAACCGACAATTTTATCCAAATTCACTGAAAGCGCGTATGTGTTTATTTATCTATTCTATTTTATTCATCGACGATTCAAATTTCCTATTAAATTACCTTACCTTTTTCTCATTCATTAATTCAGGTGGAGATGTTTATTTTATTGTACAATGTTTATCTATGGTCTTATTGTATTATGGAATGTAAGTTTTGTTTTGTTTTTGTTTTCCAAACAATTTTTTTTCTTTGAAAAATAACAACATTATCCATTGATTTTTTTTATATATCATAGAAACCATGGATGTGGGATTCAGTTTATTGTTTTCTTGATTATCCACATCATGTAAGTAATTTTTGCCTTGATAAAAGTGAGAATTATTCATTTTTTTGTTGTTGTTTTTGTTTCATTTTAGTTTGTTTCAACTGAAGAATGGTGGTATTATAATATTGAATCCGCTTTCTACTTATCATTATTATTTTCACAATTTGTTGATGTTCAACGAAAGGTTACTATAATATTTTATTGATTTTGATCAATAATTTGATCATTTATTTTTTTTTGGACAGGATTTTTGGGTAATGTTTGTTCATCATGTTGTAACATTATGTTTGTTAAGTTTTTCATGGGCATGTAATCTAATTCGTATCGGTACACTTGTATTAGTTATACATGATTTTGCTGATATTCCACTTGAGGTAATTTGATTGATTGATTGATTTTATTTTCAAATTAACTTATCTAATTTGTTTATTGTTTGAAAAAAAGGGCGCCAAAATGATGGCCTATGTAAAAAAACAACATATAGCCGATATTGTATTTAATGTATTTGCATTATGTTGGATTATATCACGAATTGGTTTATTACCATATCGTATTATATATTATTCATCATATATTGCTGTCGGTTTGGTTCCTATGTTTCCAGCATATTATATATTTAATTCATTATTAATTGCTTTACAAATATTACATATTATTTGGACTTATTTTATTATTCGTGTTGCTATACAAGCTTGGAATAATAATGGTGTATGTATTCTCCTCCACCACCCCCTACCTAATCAATTGATCCATATTGAATTTTTTTCTTGTTTTTCATTAACAGATCAAAGATATTCGTTCTGATGATGAAGATGAAGAAGATTTTCTTGAAGTAGCTGATGATGATGATGATGATGATAAATTCATTTTTAATGATAATGATGATAATAATAAAACAAAATCAAAAAATAATGGTAATACTCATCTAAGATCAATAAATAAATTGAATAATGATCATCATCAAACCAAAATATATTCGAATGGATTAAATAAATCGAAATGATTGCCGAATAATGAAAACATTGAATCATAAATCGAATGATTATTATTATTCCTGCAAAAAAAAGCTTGATTCGAATTAAACAAATTTCTATAGGCACCTCTCTCATCTAAGATTTTTTTCATTTTCATTTTTTCATTTCTTATTTTTACCTAAACCTGATGATGATATTTTAATTTTTTTTGGTAAAAACAAAAATGTGGATCCATCCATGATAAATATAATTATCCAAAAAACCAATTTTACTCACATTTATATAATAATAATAATATAATAATGATTCCACTTGTCAATCAATCAATCGAATGTTTGTTTTTTTCTTTTTGCTTTTCTTCTGTCTCTAATTATTATTGATTTTTTACAAAAAAACAAAAAAAAATGAAGAACCTTTGTTTTGAAATTTTTTTTTTGACGATTTTGTCTTCTTCTTTGTTGGTGAAACGATTTGATAAATAAAAGTATATGATTTTCGTTTTTTATCTTTGGATTTTCATTTGATAATGATAATCGTCGATTATGATACACAACCAACCATCATACGCATACAATCGATTGGCATTGACCATAAAATCAATTTTGATTTTTTTGATTTGATTCGATTTGATGATAAAGGTGATTTGATTATTATTTTTTGATGACGATGGTGATGAATAGGAAGAAGTATGTCAATGATATGGCATGATTGAAATCGAAAATGATGATCATTATCATCGCCATCAACAACAATTTCTATAACATGCTTGATGATTTCACTTGAATTTTTTTTACTCAAATTGAATCATCATCAACAACAACATCGTCATAACTAACAATGGCAACAAACAATAAATATTTTCAATCATCATTATTATTGTTTTCATTAATAATTCTTTATCGAATAACTTTAATTCAAAATGTTTCAATATCGATGACAATACCGTTGATGATGATTAACGATAACGATACGATAATGGCAACGACAATAATACCGGAACGATTCGAATTTGATCATTTCAATGATGATGATGATGATGTGGATGATGAACGAATCGAATTTAATATCGATACTATCGATGATGATGATGATGATTCGAATCTGATTATCATTGATGATCCAACAACTATCGATGATGAAGATCAACATCATTTAATCTGTTATATTCAATTGATTACATTTTTAATTTCATTTATTTTATTTTCAATTTGTTTTTTTATTTATAAATATAAATCCAAATCCAAATCGATATCAATATGATTGATGATTTTTTTTGGGATTTGTTTTTTGCTCAAAAATTATAATTTATGAATAAATTTTCATTTCATTTTCTCTTTGATTATTACGAAATTGTATAATAAAATTATAGATAATTTTTAAACAATCCAAGCATGGTAATGTATGTATGAATAATGGAATCAAATTCATTTGTTCGGTATAAATTCGATTGGCTTGATCATTATTTGATTGATGATGATCGATGGTGGTATATTCCGAATCCCGTAATACTAAATGTCGAATATCAACCGGTATGGCAATCAGATAGAAAATTACTTTTTGCTATTTGACAAAAATTGAACAACAAAAAAAAGGGTTAAACATCAAATTGGAAGCAAAAACCAAACAAACAAACAAACCATTGTAATAGCTTCATTGATTATCACATTATTTGTATTGATAAAAATACAATTGGATTTTTTTTGAAATAGATATTTTTTTTCATATTCAATACCTTGAAAATTATCAAATAAAATGACTGATTCTGGTGTAAAAATTGATTGAAATTGAAAATTAAGAATCATATGATGAATCAATCAATCAATCAAACAAACAAACCTTCAACAACCGGCTGAAAAATGTAAATCAACGTTATGAATGTTATGATCAGAATGGTGAATAGTGAGAGCTAAAATATGTCGAATAACGAAGGGAAAACCAAGAAAAATTTCATTTTAGTGAAATCAAATAATCGTTTGATAATTACCGTTAAATTTTGTTGTTGAAATAGCCATAAATTAATGATAATAAATATCAAAAAAATGATGAAAAAAATTCTACGAAACCATAAACATTTATATCGTTTGATTGTCAATTTATAATGTTGATTTTCATTGAAAAATTTTTCCACCTTTAAATTGATTATTTCATTGGAATAATTACGAAAATCATTACTGAAAATGATCATTTTTTATCAAACAAGAAGAAAAATGGTTTATTTTTTGGAAATTTTGAAAAAAAAAAATTTTCTCATCGAACATTCACATGATTTTTGGTTTGAAAAAAAAGCAACAATCCCAATCCGTTCATAAATGACGGATTGAAATTTGAAAAATAAATAAATAAATAAATTAAGAAATGCATCAATATTTTTTTTGTAGATAATCAATAAATAAATAAATAAGATTAGTCTATGGTTTTTCAGAGTTTCCTTTGGTTTCTGTTAAATTTTATCAACACAACGAATCGGTGAACAAATTTGAACCCAAAATGAATTCATTTCATCAATTGTTGATTGTTTTTGAGAAACGTCATGATATTCTTCATTCGACGAAATTTTAGTAGCTGTTGTTGATATGTTTGGTTTGGATAGATTATCAATCGATTCGGAATCATTATCATTGTCATCATTAGTGGTAGTAGTAGTAATGGCTGAATTTGAAATGATAATTTTTTCTTCAATAATTTCATCAAATTCATCATCATTTTCACGATAAATTTCAAAATTTTCACCATTCAACAACATTATGTTATCAGGATGGTAATGATCAAATTTAAAATGAGTAATACGACTTATTATCGATCCAAGACGATGTGTAGTATTGTCAATATTCAATTGAAAATTTGATTCCGATAAATCCGAATGATTTTCTTTCGAATACGTTTCAATAAATATTCGTAATTGATCAATATTTTCGGCAGAAATTTTCACTGTAAATAGAATATTTTTTGAATTAATTTTTGATTTTTGATTAGTATAAAGTTGTGGCATTTCTTCAGGGATTTCATTCAATAATCGTTTATAAAAATTATTAATCATATAACGTAATGTTAGAAATGGTAAACATTTTCGATTCTGTTCATTGAAAATATTTAATTTTTCTAAATTTATAATGAATATTTCACGTGCAAAACGTAATGAATCACCAAACAATAATGCAATAGAATGGATATGAATATTTGATTTGATAAATAATTCGATTAAAAAATTGAATATTAATTTCAATTTTGTAAATGTTTGTAATAATTTTTTCTTATTCGCTTCGTTGGAAAACGAACAATCCATTTTATTCAGACAACCAAATGGTATCGGTATAGCCATACGATCATAAAGTATATATTCAAATATATTTATAGCAAATTTTGCAAATAAATCTTGTCGTATTTGACCATAATTAAAATGTATTTCAATTATAATTGGATGATGATTTTTATTCAGATTTTTTAATGAAATTTTTTTCTTATTCGATGATGATAACGTTAATAATCCATCGATACGTTGAATTTTTTTCGGTGTTTTTCCATTATTTTTCGTTAATGAATTGAACATTTTTGAATTTTAAATTTAAAAAAAAACTTGCATCAAAAATCGAATCAAAAATTCGACAAACGAAAATCGAATCAAAAAAAATTAAACGTTTTTTTTTCAAGTGTGCGCGTTTTTCCAGGAAATTTTCTTTGACTTTGAAATTTTTTTCGCCTTTTCGGAAAATTTCTTGAGCCACTCAATGAATGACACACACACTTGTTGCACACATTCGAACTTTGATTTCGTACATTCGGTGATCAATTGTGAACGAAATGTTTTTTCGAAAAAATCTAAAATAAATTGATTTAAAATATCGATTAATCAATCAATAAATAATGGATAATAATTGTAATAAAGTACGTATGTACTATGATTTTCCCATACTATTTGATTATTTAAAAGATGTTAAAATAAATCGTTGTCGAAAAACAACAATTCGATCAAAATCAATCATCGAATCAAAACAAAATGACAAAAATAACCAATATGATAATGATACCATTGATCATCATTCTAAGAAATTGAATTCAATTTCTTTTACAAGAAAAATTATCGATATTCAACATGATGAATGTTTCAATAATCGATCGACAAATGACAATAATAATTTTATTACATCAAACCATTCAAATCTAATTGTCAATCAAAATTTCGATAAACGAATGAAAAAACCTAAAAATTTGAATAATGATAGTTTATTGTCAACGAATAGATCGACAATGTACCTGGTTAATGATTATTTAGATCAAAATAATGTTGTTGTTGATGATGGTGATTATGATTATGAATCAAAACAACAATTATCATCAAATAAACAATCAATAAAATCGAATGTTTCCCGAAATAAATCGATGGCCAAAACAATTTTTTCGCAAGAAAATCAATATACGGATAAATATGGTATGCCTCATGATAATCATCGACAATCAATACAACCTGAATTCAATGACGGTATCATTGATGATGTTGATCATCATAAAATGATGATGGAAAATTTTGATCATCAAAAAAATTTATTCGATACATATTTATTTTCAAAACTGTTGAATATTGTTGATGATGATGATGATGATGATGAATATAAAATGTTACCGCCAAAACCGGCAATAATCGTTGAAAATCGAATGATTGGTAAAGATGATTTACCCAACAACAACAACCAACAAAACAACTCTATCATCAAAGATGATCAAATTAAAATGAATGAAACATCGACAACAACAGTAAACAATTTGTCATTGATACAAAGTTCAAATAACAACAACATGCCGTTAAATGATGATAATGTTGATCATGGTGGAAAACAAGATTCAATTTATCATCGGAATAATGATGACGATGATCAATCGATTGTATTGTTATCGAACAACAACAATCAAACAATCGATAATCGATTCGAATCATCATTATCATTCGAATCGATTCGTATACCAAATTGGGATGAATTATGTAAACGTATCTATAGATTTAATTATAATTATCTTATGATTAATGATGATAATAATCATTATAATCGTCATCATTATTATGATGATTATTATCCAAAATTCAACAATAACAACAACAACAATTTAGATTATCAAGCAATTCAGCCATCATCGTCATTTGTAAATCATCTATATTTACCAAATCAATTGATAATGGATAAATCAAATAATGACGATACTGATACGATGATTCATTTTCAACAACAACAACAACAAAATAATAACAATAAGGAATTTACTAAACAAATCAATTTTACAACCAATATTGTTGTTAATCAAACATTTACAACAGCAACAACAACAAATAAACAAAATCGATCATTAATTGATTCAGAAATTGAATTATTATCATCATTGGATATAAGAAAATTTATCAACGATCAATCCAGACGAATTTTTCTATTTTATCAAGATATTTTACTTGAAAATCAATCTAAAATTGTTAACTTACAACAAATGATTGAACAATTTCATTATGATCATTATCCAATGTCATCACAAAAACTATTATTATTTGATCTTTGTAAAGAGAAAATTATTGAAATATTTTCAATGGACTTATCGACGAATCAATCGACGACGACAATGAAAAATCCTGACGAACCAACAACAACATTGATTATACCGTTAAAAATGCAAAAACTAAAATGGCCAAATAATATGGAAATTTTTGTTGAAATAGTTTTGGATCGTATTGAAAATGAATTATTGAACATTAATAACGATAATGATGAACAAAATGATGATGATGATGATGAAAATTCAATACGAAAATTAGGATTAATGACCTATTGTCGTAAGCAAAGAAAATTAAATTTTATTGACCGAATATTATTCAATGAAATGATCAATGATGAATATAAATTTAAATGGATTAATTTTGATTGGGAAATCAATCGGATTAAAAATCATTTGATCAATATGATTTGGGATGATATTATTCAACAATTAATTTATAAACAATGTTTACAAATTATTTAACCCCTCAATGATCATCATTATAAGCGACAATTCTTTTCTTTTTTCTTTGGTTCCTTATTGACCATCATCATTATTATCATCGAATCAACGATCATCAAAAAAATCACAAGACCATAATCATCATATCATTATCATCAATCAATGTGATTAAACACATCAATTAGGTTATATATCGAGAAAAAAAGATATATCGAGAGAGGATCAAACCTAATATGTCAACGAATTTGTTTGTTTGTTGATGTTTTTTTTTGTTTGATTGTCGTCTGTTGTTCGTAAAGTATACAGATGTATAATATATCCGAAATTGTATGTTTGTTATTTTATTTTATACATTTAATCTTTTGTGTTTTGTTTTGTTTTTTCTTAGTAAAACATCATCATCATTTGATCATATATTGAAAAGAAGAAGAAGAAAATGTTATGAAAAAAAACCTTCGTCAATGAAAAATTGCACAAAAAAAAAATACTATTCTATTGACGACATTTATGGCTTTTTGTTTCACCCGTGCGTTGTTTAATGTCAAAAAAAAAGAAGAAAAGAAAAAGATTTTTCGTGTGCCCAAATTTCGTTAATGTTCGGTTTGTGTGTTTTTATAATATATGGAAAAAAAAGAAAAATTTTCGATTGCAAAGGAATGTGGTTTGATGATGATGATGATGTTAAAAACAAATGAAAAATTGTTGTCGTTGTTGTTGTTATTGTTGGCGTATAGGCCATCAAATGACGACAATCAGTCAAATCAGTCATTTGATTTGATTTGATTTTTTTCAAATAACAGATATTTTCATTTATTTTATTTATAAACATCAAACGACAATATCGACTTCGTTTCATTTTTTTGAAAAAAAATGAAAATACCGCCCTTTAATTATTGATACTAATTTATGTTATTTTGTGGTATATGCTTTCGGCTTGTATGATAAATAATGATGATAATGATTGGAAAATAAGAACGAAAAAAAAGAAACTAAAGAAGAGAGAATATATAAAACATGCATACATTTTTATTATGATTTTCTTTTTTTTTCTTGTTTTGTTTTGTTTGTGTTTTGGTGGATATAAATGATTATGTGAGATGTGGATGTGAATGAATTTTTGAAAAAAAAACTATTTTTTGTTCATCAGGAAATTTAAATTAAAACAACAACAACAACAAAATGATTCGAATAAATTCTAGCCGTTATTCGGGTCATCCGCATTATAATAAAATTTCAATTGGATCAATTTTATTATTGATAATAATAATTCAACGAACAAATTCATTGCGAATTGAAACAACAATTCGACCATTATTATCAACATCATCATCATTATCATCAACATCGACATTGTTTAATATTAATCATCCAATCGATCAGCCAGATAATCATCAAGATGGACAGCATGGTTCTTCATCATCAACGACATCGACAACGACGATATCGACGATATCGACAACAACAAATAGAATAATAATATTGAATAAACGATTACAAAATTGTTGGACAAATCTATCTAAAGTTATTGGTCTTGTTTGTTCCAAATCACCAACATCATCATCGAAATTTTTTAAATTATTAAAAGAAAATTATTTTGGTTAGTTTTTCTTTCTTCTGTCTTTTTAAAATTTTGAATTTTTCTAATATTAACAATTTTGTCTCTCTTTTTCACCAAAAAAAAGGTTTTCTACAAAAATCTAAACATTATCAATTATCCAATAATGAAAATCAACAACAACAACAAATATTGATTGATTGTTGTCGAAAACCATGTTCATTGGATCGTATACGACGGTTATGTTAGCCAATGTAAGAGAAAATCGATTTTCCGATTTTTATTTTCAATTCCAATTGGTTCTATGAAACAACAAAAACAACTTTTCTTGAATACCTCAGGCTCATTTATATTCATCGGATCAATTTCTATCTATCTATCTTAAATACATACTCTGAGTATATATAAATACATTTATTATCATCAACATCATTACCCATTATCATCTTGTTTTTTTCATATATCAAAAAAAAATTGTATTTATTTTTCTTTTCACACGCACCAAACACACACACACACACACACACACAAACTAACTAACATATTCATTCATTTATCAATTTGTACAATCATTTCATTTTTGTATTATCAAAACATTTTTTTTATATGTTCGTTTTTTTATTATTATAAAAAATGCACTGTTTTTATATATAGCAATGAATTTTGTTTATCTCTTTTTTTTGTCCCGAACTATATGCCATCAATCGGAATTCGAATCGGTCATCGATATTGACCGATTAAGTAGAAAAAAAACAAACAAGGTTATTTTTTCCATTTTCCATTTTTAGATGGGAATCTTTGAATAATAAACAACGACCCTCTAGAAACCAAAATCGAATCGATCGACTGATTCGAAAATATGGAAACAAAAAACATGGACATTGAACCTATGGAAAATGATGAACTTTTTTTTTGTTGGTTTGGTTTGTTTTAATCCTTCGTTCGTTTATATTCATGTGATGAAACGATTTTTTTTTTCGTTCTGTCAAAGTGTATTGGCCTTCCTTGATGGCTGAAATATAAATATGATTTTATGGATCATATCATATCATATCATTACGAAAACAAACAAACAAACAAATTAATTACTCTTTCGTTCTTTATTTACTATATTTATAATTGATAATTGAAAAAAACAAACAGAAAATTTATGGGAAAATTTCCCCACACGATATATTAAATTGATTACAATGAAAGGATGCAATGATTTGATGTCAATTGAAATTCACAAAAACGGATTGAATGTGTAAATATGAACAGTATATAAAAAACGATACAGTAGAAAACGATACATATATTTTATCAATACAAAAGTTTGTTTGTTTATATCTAAATGTTTTTTCTGTTATGTTCAATGATAATGAGGTAAAAATGGTATACGTATTGTACTATTAGATATTAAATGAAATAAAAATATACTTGATATAAAACAAATAAATGTATAACTTGTTGTTGTTATATAACCAATTAATACTTCAAAATGTTGATATGACCAACCACGTAACATAACTAAACGTACTGAACGTATTGTTAATGTAATTGGATTTAAAAATATTAATTTTTGTAATATATCGGGTAAACCTTCCATTGGCCACATACTACCTGATGTTAATAACATTGGTAATATTATACTAACAACAGCAATCTATATATATTTAACACAAAGAAAGAAGAAAGAGAAGAAAGAAAATTAGAACATTGATTGAAAGGATTAACATTAGTTTTAAAAAAACTTACACTAGCAAATATTTCATTAACACAAATAGTTGATATAACTAAACCAATACTTAAACCTTGTATACCTTGTAAAAATATTAATATAAATATTTCTAATAATGAACCTTCATTATCTAATTCTAAAATAACAAATGATAACATTAATGTTAAAAATACTTGTGATAAAACAGCAACAAAACAAGTTAACATATGACCCGATAATATTTCTAATGGTTTAACACCGGCAACAAATGCACGTTCTTGATAACCATCTTTACGATCCATAACAATTAATAATGAACCGATGACCATTGGTAATGCAAACAAACTGAATACAATCAATGCTGATACAAGATAATGACCTTTGAGGGAAAAAAATCAAAAATCAAGGTTATAATTGAAGAAAGGGTTAACAAAAAACAAACAAATTTACCAAGATCAGTTTCCATTTTACCATAGATAGGTTCTTCAACATAAATCGGTAGATTAAATGTAATTGGATTATAACCTAAATCAGTACTAAATTTACGCATAAAAACTTCAAAATAATTTAATACAGCACGACGCATATAAACGGCGAATATAAAATTTGAATTATCCGGATATAAACGTATTTTACTGCTTTCGATTTCAATTTCATCTACCGATGAACGATAAACATCAATATAACGTGATGTAAATGATTCGGTAAAATTATCCGAAAATATCATTCCATAATATGATTGTCCTTTTTGTACGGATTCTAATGCTTTTTCAGGACTATTGAAAATACGTTTCTTTAGGAAATATTCATCCATTACATCTTTTGGTAGAGAAGAGAAGAAAATTAAAGAATTGAAAACAGGTTAAGGTATCTGATCACTTACCTATAAATGTTTTGGAAAGATTACCACCATGTATATCACCCGGATAAATAGCAATAGGCATATTATGTGGACTACGTAATATTGTTAATGAAAATAATGTTATTGTCATTATTGGTATCATATGAAACATTATTAATACTAATGGATTTCTTTTCACACGAATAAAACTTTTCCAAATCATTGCCTTAAGCCGTTCATTATCAATTTCTTTACGTAATCTTTCTTTTATTGTTATTCGTTCACCTTTATGTTCTTTATATTGTAATTCTTCTTGATTATTCGATGACTTTGACGTCGACGATGTTGATGATGGATCAAATTCGTGTGTCTAAAAAAATGAATTTTGGTCAAATCAAATCAATCAACCAAATCAACCCGTACTTACCAATGGCCTATATGTACCATTTGATTGTATGGCGGTGGTTGTTGTTGCAGTTGCAGTGTTTGAATTAAATTTAAGAATTTGTTGCTGCTGTTGCTGCTGCTGTTGTGGTTGTTGATGATCTTTTCTTGAATATCTTGATAGACAAAGTTTTAGAAATACTTCTTCCAATGTATTACATTTATATTGTTCTTGTAGTTTGGATGGTGTTGATTGTGCCAATACCGTACCGGATTCAATAAAACCAACATTATGTGCTTCTTTTGCTTCTTCAATATAATGTGTAGTGATGATGACACTTGTTCCTATGGATGGAAAATGGGAAATTTTGGAAAAGGTTCAAGCATGGTTTTCACTTTTATAAGAAAAATCTATACCTTCTGTTTTACACATATGTTCCAAATGATTCCAAATACGATAACGTAATACAGAATCAACACCAACAGTTGGTTCATCCAATATAACTAATGGTGGTTGATGTACTAATGTTACGGCTAATGAAACCAGACGTTTTTGTCCACCACTTAATTGTCTTACAATACGATCACGATCAGGTAAATTTAATAATTCAAATAATTTTTCAATGCGATCATATAAATGTCTTGAATCCATATGATAAATTTGTCCAAAATATTTTAATGTTTCTTCGATTGTAAATTCAGGTATCAGAGATATTTCCTGTGGCATATAACCAACACCTGGACCTGGGATTCGTGAATGTGTGGATGCTGGTTCAACACCAAATACCCGTATAAAACCGGTTTCTGGTTTCAAACGCCCAAGTATCATACGTAACATTGTTGTTTTTCCACATCCATTCGATCCTAACAAGGCGAATATTTTTCCTAAATTCAATTTTGATTGAAAAACATTTCATTTTAATATGGTCAATATGAATTTGTTTTTGTGTGTTTTTTTAAAAATTGATTAATTAATTAACATGATTGCTTAATGATTTTTCTCTGTGAATATTTTTAAATTGAACTAATAGTCAGTCAGCGAAAGAGAGTGAAGAAATTATTTGAAAAAAAAAGTAAAATTCACTGACACAATTAAGGTCAAGGACTGAATTGAATGTGATTTTTGTTTTTTCTTTAAGAAAAAACTTCTGATTTCGATAAAAAAACTTTTTTTCTGTTTAAAATCTTTTTTGGAAAACTTTTAAATAAAATTTTTACCTTCAGGTACAAAAAGGCTAACATTTTTTAGCACTGGTTTCTTTCGATAATAAGAATAGGCAATATTTTCTACTTTAACAGCTAATGAATGATGTTTTCCACCACCACCACCATCATTATTCTGATGACCACCATTTACAATTGCACCGCCATTTTGTTGTTGATTTAGATGATCATTCGGTGCTTTCAAAGAACGAATTTTGTGGTTATTGGTGGCTGTCGATGGGGATGATGATGATTTTGCTGTTGTCGACGATCCATTGATCGTTGTCGGTTGATGATGATGAACTTCGACTTCTTCCTGATAATCATCAATATCGATATCGTAAAAATTTGTTGATGGCATTTTTGTTAATCGATAAAACAACTTTTGAATCACAGAAAATTTCAAACACGACAAACACGACAAAGCGCACTTTAAAATGTCGCAAAGTTGTTGATGGCGAGGAAAGATATGATGTTTTTCTTTGAAATTTGATTGTTTTTTCCTCAATTAATCAATTAAAAAAAATTTGATTCAATGTAATTAAAATGTGTTTAAAAAAAACCGAAAAAACACTGTTTTTCTTCTTAGTTACGTTACGATTGAATGAATTTCACCTTATGGCAGACACGAAACACACAGGTAAAAACCACACAGCACCAATGATGAAAATGATGATTGATAATTTGATTGTGAACTTTGATCAAATGAAACAGATTCGGGTCTGAAAACTTTCTTCAAAATGAATGTTATTGATTGATTTTGATTGAAGGAAGCAAAAAAAATTTCAATTTTCTGATCAGAAAACAACAATAAAAAAAAATACTGGAGAAAAAGAGTCAAAATTTCCTTCTCCTGGAATGTTTCTTCTTCTGCTTTTTTTTTGGCCAGAAATTCATTCACAGAAACGAAACAAAAAAAGGAGAGAAAGAATTTCAGATGTTCAAGTGCTTTAATTGTTTGAAATATTTCAACAAGATTTGGAAATTTTTATCGTTTGTTTGTTCACTGTTTGTTTGCAAAAATTGAGAAAGAGAAAAAACATTCAATAATTTTTGCGAAAATGGAAATGTAATTCTGAAACTTTTGGACATCAGCAGCGATGATTATAGTGACAGTGATAATGGCGATGATGATCAAAAGAAAGATTGCAATAGAAAATGATTCAAGGTAACCAGCCGATAATCATCCAGAAATCCTTTTTTTCATTGAAGAAAAATTGGATTTTTGAAGAAAAAACTTTTGAAAAATTTTTTTCTGCCACTAATTTTAAAATTAAGATAATGACGGCGACGGCGAAGACAACCAAGGAAACAGTCGATAATGATGATGATATTTGCGATGCGAAAAGAAAAAATTAATAAATTTTTTTCACAAAATCCTTGAATCTGGATCTGATGATGATTACGTTGTCAGGTTGTTTTCATCATGTTTGTTGTTGTTGTTTTCGCTTGTTGTTGTTGTTTATTTTCAGAAAATTTTAATAAACAAAAAACAGAAAAAATCAATCATCAACCGGATTTTTCTTTGATGAAAAAAAAGGAAAAATTGAAAAATTAAAAAATTCACAAACCAAATCATCGAAATGATTTGATTGGAAAAAAAATTGAAAAATGTAAATGAAATGAAGAGCTTGGAACAACAACAACGAGAAAATTGTTGTTTCTGTTTCATTTCAACAACAACAACAACAACGACGAGAGAAAAAAAACGATCCAGGATCAAGTTTTCTCCAAACAAACAACAACATGCCCCCTATCCTTTGGTCTTTTCTCTTTTTTCGTCTTCAACAATCTCTCAATCATCATTATCATGTTTGTTCCATCATCAAAACATATCATCATCGGTTGATTGAATTGGCCATTGAATCTCTCTCGCTTTTGATTGTTTACGAAATGATGATCCAAAACATAAAGCTAATTACAACAACAACAAAAACATTCCAGCAAGCTAATTTCAATTTCAATCGACCAGAATCTTTATTCAGAAAAATTCAAATTTGAATTTCATGGAGAAAATGTTTTTGGAAGAGAAAACACACAAACAAACAACAAAATTCTCTTCTTTTTTTCCATTTTCCAAAATTTAATTGATTCCAAACGAAAACGAAAACAACAACATTTGATTTCTTTCTCTCTTCATCAATTTGGGAATTATCGTTATTTTTAATAATTTTTCTGCCTGCCTGTTTTGCTTTGCTTTCGCTTTTGCCTCACTTTTGCACTTGGAAAATTATTGCAACACTTGAATTGAATCGAATGGTTTCCATTTCATTTGCTCACGGCATCCAAAAGAAATGTTACTTTTGTCTGTTGTTGCATCTAATCATCATCATCATCATCATAATATTGACTTTCGAAACAAACAAACAAACATCTTTTGAAAAGGAGAAACGAAACGAAACATTGCAATAAAGGTGGCTAATGTAACAAGTGTGGTTGTGGAAAAAGAAAGCTACTTTGAGCATCCATTTGATGATGATGTCCAAGTTATCTTTTTTTTCTTCTCTTTCATTGAATTGACCTCTTTTCTTTTTTGCGTTTTTGTTTTGTTCGGTAAGGCAGCGAAAGATGCGAAAAGTTTTTTTTTGTTTTCTTCTAGTTACAAGAGCAAGGACAAATGAAATGAAATATATCTTGTTTTTTGTTTTGCGTTTGCGTTTACGTAATCTTTACATAATTTCTGGAGAAATGATGATGATGATGATTTCCAGTCACACTTTCCCCCTCTCTCTCTCACTCTCTCTTTTCAGCGACCATTCACATTGATCTTGAACAAATCTTGTTATCTCTCGTTTTCTTCATCGGAATTATCTTAATCTCTCTCTCTCTCCCTCTCTCTTTCTCAAAAATTTCTCTTTCTTTCTTGGAACTTTCTCCAATCTCTACTAATGCCATGGTCACAATCCAGCAAAAACATTAATTTATTCAATCACCATGATGATAATGAGAAAATTTCCCGAAAGAATTTGAACAAAAAAAACAACCCAAAAATGAATTCTTGATTTTCGTGAAAGTTTTTCCAAAAAAAACTTTTTTTTTCAATTAAAAATGAATAAATTAAACCAACCAAATTGACTAAGTAAAAAAAAAATTTATTCATCAATTTTTTGTTGTTGTTGTTTTATCCTTTTGATTGTTGTTGGTTGTTGAAGAATCCTATATAATTTTTAATGGTAATTTGTGTTTGGTGTGTTTCATTGAAAATTTACTTGGATTATTTGACTGTTTGTTTGGAAAAAAAAGCTCAAAAACAAAACAAAACAAAAAAAAACAAAATAAAGAAATGTAATACATAAAATTGTAGAAAGTTTGTTTTTTTCCAATAAAAATAAAATAACAAAAAAAGTTGAAAACGACTATATAATAATTATTGAGAGGTAAAATGAAAGACGAGGATGTTTGTCACAAACAATATAATATTATAAGTTAAACTGCTAACATATCCCATAAATACTTCATAATGTTGATATGACCATCCACGTCTAAATATATGTTGTAATGAACGAATTGGATATGATAATGGTGCTATCCAAAATATTTTCTGTAACCAAGCATCAATTGATTCTAATGGCCAGAATACACCGCTTATCATCCATAATGGAAATACCATACCAAGTGATAATAACTATAGATTGAATAATTCAATAAGAAAAGAATATTAAATTTTGCAAAATAATAATAATAATAATAAAAACTTACCAAAGCAACAATTTCATTTTTTGATATTGCCGATATGAATAAACCGATAAATATACCGGTTAAACCCTGTAAATAAAGCATTAAATATGCTTCAAATAATGATCCTAATACTGTTACATCGAATACAATAACTGAAACAAACAATAATATTATCACTTGTACAATTAAACTGAACATAAGTGTTATTAAATGTGTTAAGAATACTTCAATTGATGTAGCACCATTAACAAATGTTCTTTCAATAATATTATCTTTTCTTTCCATTACCAATACCATACCGGACATTAATAATGGTGTTGTATAAATAATAGCTACTAATGAACCGGCAATTAAATTGTCCAAAAGTACATAACCATTTTCCAGATCTAAATGTCCATAAATAATTCCTTTAACCAAAACAGGTAATCTTACTGTACTTGGATTATAGCCAAATGAACTGGCAACACCTTCAACAAATTTTTGATATGAATTCAATAATGAATTATCGATAACATTATGTATAAAATTATCCGTTTGATCGGGATATAGTTTGATTTTACTATTATTAAAATCTGTTTCACTTAAATCGGATGGATTTTTTGCCCGACGACGATATGCAGTAGAAAATTGATCACTCATTTCGATAGCTATCCATGATTTTCCATCGATTACCGATTGTATTGCTTTATCCAATGTATCATAATGGTTTACCTGTTTTATTATTATTATTTTTTTTTTTGATGAAGGGACATTAATAATTTAAAAAAAATCAAATTTTTTATAGAATAAATATTACATACATGAAGTAATCGTTCATCAATTAAATCCAAAAAACGTTTTGAAAGTGATTTTGTATCATTATTGAAAACAGCTATATCAATATTATCCGGTGATTTATATACTGATATGCAGAATAAAATAATTTGTATTGTTGGCAATAATAGAAAGAAAAAAAATAATAATGGATTTCTTTTAAGATTGACAATATTTTTGAAAAATAATGCTTTCAAACGTATTTTATCAACAGTAAAATTATAAAATTTTGAACGTATTGCTTCTAATTCAGGTTCATAGATGTCGGTTGTTTCTTGTGTTGAATCTTGTTTTTTTATTGAATGTTTTTGTTTAATTTCACCACAATCATGTTGACATATTTTTAAAAATACATCTTCCAATACGGTTGTATTGTATTTTTGCAATAAATTATCTGGTGTATCTTGTGCTAAAATTCTACCAAAACGCATAAATGCTAAATTATTAGCTCGACGTGATTCTTCAATATAATGTGTTGTAATAATGATGGTCATTCCTTAGAAATAAAATGAAAAGAATGATTATTTTATTCCATTACATTAGATTAGATTCGTTTTTATTTTTATTATTATTACACTTACGATTATTGATGCATAAATGTTCTAAGTATTGCCAAATTTTTAAACGTAATAATGGATCAACACCAACAGTAGGTTCATCCAATATCAATAATGGTGGTGAATGAAATAATGTTAATGCAATTGATGCACGACGTTGTTGGCCACCACTACATTGTTCAATTTTTCGATTTTTAGGCGGTAAATTTAATAGTTCGATCATAAAATCCGTTCTTTTAATAATATCATCTTTAGGAATATGATGTAATAAACCAAAATAATATAATGTTTCACCAATCGTAAATGATGGAAACATTGCTAATTCTTGTGGCATAAAACCAACACCACTACCAGGAATATTTGAATGAATACCGCCCGGTCGTGCACCAAATACATGTACACTACCTTTTTTCGGTTTTAATCTACCCAATATAATCCTCAATAATGTTGTTTTACCACATCCACTTGCACCGAGTAATGCAAATATTTGAGCTATAAAAAAATAAAAAAAAAGATTATTACGATGGCCGAAGAAAAAACGAAACATATTAAACTTGACTATTAAACTCTGTTCTGTATGGCCGAAAAACCAAACATAGCCGGAAAAGAAATGAATGTCACATCAACAACAACAAAAACAAAATGAAAGATCGATATTGTCAATCTTGATCATTAAGTAAGATCAGATTTTAATGTTCGTCGATGACATTATTTTTTTCGTTAAATTTTTTATAATGAAAAAAAATACCTTTTGGAATAACCAAACTAATATTAGATAAAACATTAGTTGATTTTGTATATGAAAATGAAACATTTTTAATCACAACTGCCACTTTTGGTTGTTTTTGTTGTTGTTGTTGATCATATAATGGATTATTATTATTATTATTCATTATTGTTGTATCAAAATTATGATTTGTATCGATACTTATTCGTCGATCTTGTCCATGTTCATTCGTAATTGAAATTGTTGGTATAGTCATCACTTTATTATTATTGTTATTATCGTTGTCGTTGTTATTATTGACTGATGTCACATTAAATAATGGCCGTGTTTCAATTAAATTTTGTTGTTGTTGATTATTTATATCGATTGGTAAAATAGCAACTGATGGTGGTGAATCTTGTTGTTGTTGATTGTCATGAATCACTGATTTTGTTGTTGTCGATGATGATGATGAATCATTATTATTATTATTATTATTTGGATTTTTGTCTGATATTTCATCCATTTCAAAACATTCATTTATATAAGATTGAACTTGATTCATTAATTTTTCAACAATCTCTTCTTCCTGTGACGATTTATCTATTTTCCGTTTTAATTTTTTATCATCATCATTATTATTATTTGATGAAAATTTTTCTATATGTTCATCATCATTATTTAATGATGATATTGGTTTCTGTTTCGATGATGACGATGAATGCCATGATGTTGAGGATGTTGATGACGATGATGATGATGATGATGATGATGTAGAAGACAATGATGATTGGTCATTTAAACCATCATCATTGGCCACCATTATTTCGTCATTATCAGGCAATTTTTCATTTTCATTATTATTATTATTAACATCATTCGACAATGATTCTATTATTATCATTTTCGAATCATCATCATTATTATTATTCGATTCTATTTCCACTCTATTGGGAATTGATGATTGTAATTCAACCGTTGTTGCTGTTGAATTTGAATTATTAATTTCTTCTTCTTCCTTATTATTCATTTTGTTCTGTTAATGATGATGATGATGATGAGAATATTCTTTCAAACACACAGATTGGACAAGAGAAAAATATTCAAGGAAAAGAAATTCAAAAAATAAAAACAAAAAAAAAACGGTAAAAAGATGAAGATAACGATGATGCACTTGAACAATCACAAATTCAATCAATCAATTTTCTCATAATCATCATTTGAGTTTGACAAAATGTCATTTGGCAAAACGATGATTTCTGTTTTGTTTCATTAATGAATTGTGTGTATATATGTGTGTTTTATGGAATTTTCTGTTTCTCTCTCTCTCTCTCTCTTCAATCGGTTTGGATTTATCATTTGCTAATCAATGACCAACAGACATACAACAAAAAAATCAAATGAACATTTGCGACAATCATCATCATTGTCGATGTAATTGATTTTTTGTTGTTTTTGCTAAACCAGGATGATATTGTTGATTGGCTGGTTGCTGGTGGTGGACAAATTAATTGACGTCAAAATTTTTTTAAAAAATAATGATGATGATTGTGAATTTTTTCAGTGAACAAAATTGTAAAATTTGTAAATTTTTTATTTCGATATACACGAAAAATATCGATTTCAAATCATGTAAGCAACAATTTTATTTGAATGATAATGATGATCATTATTATTGAATGATGATGATGAAAAGATTTCTATGAAAAATCACAAAATGCGGATGATGAGGATGATTATTCTTCACATTCATAATCAATGATTATGGTTTTTTTTTTGTTGTTGCTCTTGGTATTCATCAATGTGTGTAGGTAGGTAGAAAATTCAAATTCAATCAAATGAATGAATGGATGAATGGATAATCAAATTCACATAGATTAAATTGTCATCGTACATTCTGGTTTTTTCTGGCTTCAATGTTAATCACACACAACACATCAAGTATGTACGATTTTAATCGATTTGCACCACACACACACACAATTCGCAATACCCAAAAATCCAATTGATTGTTGATCGTTTTTGGAAAAAAAAATATTTATCGAATCGACGGTGTGTGACGAGATGAGATGATTAAAATGAAATTTGACAAAATGAAAGATTCAAATTTTTTTTTTTCATTTGGTGAAAATTCAAAAATTTTCTTCTTTTCGAATGCTCAACCGGTGATGAACGTTTTTGTTCTATCGATTGTTGCTGATTGTTGGAAATGGACGAATAAATAAATTTTTTTTTCGAACACTATCGAAAAAATATCGAATATCTGTCAACTGAGAAAACAAACAAAATTGGTTTTTTTTAATCTTGGTTTTTTGTTTTTTTGAATAAAAATCTTTTAATAAAGAGACAAAAAAATTATGTATTAAGATTGATAGATAAACAGATCAAGGAACACTTTTTTGGAAAGAAAAAAAATCAAACGATTTGGGAAGACAGCAGCAAAAAAAAGACAACAATGTCCTTTGAAACTATGGAAACACACACGAAAAAAGTCTTTAATTTTTTTTATGGAGCAAATCAAAAGTGTTAACTGAAAAAAAATGATATCAACGAGAAGAGGAAGAAGAAGAAGCTAAATAAAGTTAAAATGAAATTAAGAGAGAGAGAGAGAGAGAGAGAGAGAGAAATGTAAGTGTAAATGAATTGAAATGTTTTCGGAAAACCTAAAAACAAAAAAAATTGAAGAGAAAGTTTTTCTTTAGTTTTTGAATAAATAAAAATTAAATGAAGAAATTGCCCGAAGCTTTTTTTTCGTTTCATGTAGAATTTAACCTTCGAAAGGAGAATTGATGCTCGTTATTAGTAAATTTGCTTCAACCATGGATTAATCATCATCATCAACAACTTCGATATCAACGATTATCTTTGAACAACTACAAACGAAAAAAAAAACGAAATTAATCTTGAAGAACGACATTTTTACTACCAAACAACAACATGGAAATCATCATCATTATCATTCATTTTGGACAGAAAAAGAAGAAGAAGAAGAACGAAACAACGATGAAATATTTATTAATGAAATATTTCAGGTTTCATTCATTCATTCATTCATTATCATCATCATCGAATACATCTATCATTTGTCGTAAATGGTAGTTATTCTGTCCAAAAAAATATTCAATGATGATAATAAAGTGTTAATAAATGAAAGAGAGAGAAAAAGAATCTATCACATACATTTAAAATGACGATGATGATAATGTACTTGATGATAATTAATTTTTTCGAAAAAAAAGAAAGGGTGGTAACAAACGCATGTGGAAGGTGTCAACCCTGATGATGATCTTTTTTTTTCGTTGATGCTGGCTGATTTACTTTGAAATTAAAAGGATGATTTTTTCTTGCTGATAATGAATTTCGGCAGAATAAACAAACGGAACAAAAATGACAATGATTTTTTCGTTCGGAGAGGGAGGGGGGAAACAGATGAAACGAAAACAAACAATTTACATACGCGTACATTCATTCAACCATAATTAAAAGATTTTTCTTTTGTTTTTGTTTTCTTATCAAGTGTTTATCAAATGAGAGTGAGAGAGAAAAACAAAGTAATTAATTCGAATCAAATGAAATTTAAATTTTACAGGTGAAAAGACCAAATATTTGCTGTTGAAATCATTGTTGTAAAAAAAGAAAGAAAGAAAATAAACAAATTATAAAATCAATATAAACAACAAAAGCAAACAATAACTACACGAACCTCGACGGTAATCACAATGATGACAATCGATTTTTCCAATTTTGGTAGATAATAATGATGATGATGATAATGTGACAACGTTGATGACGATAACGATGATGATGATGACGATAATCATATTTTTCTGAATTAATCATAAGATTGTCCTTCCATAATAAGATTTTTATTTAATGTTTTTTGAAAAAAAATTATTTTTAGAAAAACAAGAAAAAAAATGGAAATGAAAAAATTCACAAATGTCATCACGGTAAATTGATTTTCGAATGTTTTTTTTTCAGGAAATTTGCACAGAAACATTGTATGTGTGTGTGCGGATGGGGGTGAGCGTAGCCAAAAAAATTTTCCGGGAAATCAATTTATTCTTTGTCGTCGTCGTTAAGAGATTGGTGACCATGAAAATTCGAAGTTTCCATCAAATTTTAACTGAATTTACTTAAACTAATCGATCAACCCATCCGTTCAAAATTGTCAAAATCATTGTCATTCATGCATATCCATTACCAAACAAGATCAATAAACAAGAAACAAAAACAACAAAAGTCGAAAAACAAATAAGAAAAAATGTTTTAAAGTAAGTGAAAAACTAGATGCATCACCTATTCATCGTTTTTCTTTCTTCCACTTCTTCTTCAGGAAAAAGAAGATTTTTGTTGTTGTTGTTGTTGTTGTTTTTGGAAAACCCGTGAAATCTCACTTGGAGCCAGAAAAAAAGTCGTTTTTTTTTACTAATTTCTCCCTCATCAAAGCAATTTACTAATTGCTATTTTTTTTTTGTTTTTATTAATTTGAATGTCACCATTCATCCATTCCATTTAATCATAAATCAAATTATCAATCAAAAAAAAAAAAACAAAAATCCATTGAAGAAAGACATTGGCGAAAAACGAAATCGTGATGGGTCACATGAGAAATCGAATGAATCGAATCGAAATAGAATCCCAGCAACAACAACAACATTTACATTGAACTTGAAAAATCATTTGGTAATCATCTTCGACAACGAAAAACATCGATAGAAAATGAAGAAGATCAACAGCAGAAAACAGAATTCATGATCAACAAGTTTTTTCAGGCAAAAAAATGCATGCACTCGCAATCAAAAAAAAAAAAGTTACCTGATTAAACCATCACCACCACCACTACTTACTTAGTTGAAAATGACGTTTGGATTATCGATAAACGATGGCCATGAATATTTAATTTTTTTTTCGTTTTCGTTTTTGAAACGTTATCTGCTTTTATTTTTGAAGAAGCATCCTTGCTGATTCGAAATTCTTCTTCGATTCGATTCGATCAATTATTGTCAAAAGATGAAAATTTGAGTTTTTAGAGTGAAAAAATCAATAATTTTTCAGCAAACATCATTAATTCTAATTAATGAATTTGACAGACTCGGCTGATTGGATTCACATTATTTTTCATTGATTGATTGATTTTTGTTGATTTGCAACTTTCTGTTTCGAACCAGAAAATTCTATCAATCTTTAAATGCGCAAAGCACAAAGAGATAACTGATAAACTGGTAGTTTTTTTGAAAAGTTATTCTGTATGTCTGGATAAGATAAACTAAACGAAATAACGTCATCAACATCAATATTTTTATTAATTTATATTTACAAATCAATTACGCTGTACAGAAAAATCCTAAAATAATAAATTTTAATGACTTTTGATCATCATCAAAATCCAAACAACGTCATGCGATTTTTTTTAGTTTCACAAAAAAAATGATAATTTTTAAAATCAAAGAAATCAAAACTTTGAAAATCAAAATTTTTACAAACAAAAATATTTAGGAAAACGTTCGAAAAATCAGGGTGGGTGGAAATAGGCGAGCACAACCTGATATCCTGGCATTTTTTTTAAACACTGAAAAATTCAATTTTTTTTTGTTTTTGTTTTTGGGTTTGGGTTTTTCTTTCTTCTTCAAAAAGTTATTAATCGAGTGAAATTGATTATGGATAAAAAATAGCAATATAATTATTTTTGCCGGCCGGCTCTTTTCAATCAATTCTTTGTTGGTTGTTGTTGTTTTGTGTGGGATTTTACGTTACGATCGACAACAACAACAAGCAAACAAACAAACAACAGGAAACGTTTTTAAAAAAAGGATTACAAAATTAGTAAGTTTGTTTTTTGTTTTTGAAATAAAAAATTTCATTTCCAATTAAAAAAAAAAATTTCAATTTCAATCAATATAGAACGGTTTTTCTCCATTTCTCTCTCTGCTCACTTTATCAAATGTGCACTGATCATCAAAATTCATTCGAATTCGAATCTGTTCAATGACAATCATGTCGTCATCATCATTTGATCATTGATTTCAATTGGAGAAATTGTAATTTAATTTCCAAAAAAAATAATGTGAAATGAATGGATCGACCAGAGTAGGTACATCCAGAGATAAAATCAAAATCAAAATCAAAACAAACAAAATAAACAAAATCAAAACAAACCAAAATTGCACCGAAAATGATTACGTTGATTTTGGTTGTTGTTGTTTGTTGTTGGTCGTTAAAATTTCCATCATTCAATTGAAATGTAGCTCATTCACTTTTCCTGATAAAATTTTGAATTTTATCAAAATTTTAATTTCTTTCAATGGAAAAATGAGTTTCACGGCAACAAACTCTCTTCTCTCTCTCCCTCTCTGCTATATCGATCAACTTTTTTTTCTTTTTTATAGCTAACTATGGCTTCAACATGGCCATCAATCAATCAAATTTAAATATTGTATATTTATTTACTAATTAAGGTTGTCTCTTTCTTTTTCTGTTTTCTGTTTTGTTTATTTAGGAAAATTTCAAATGTCAAATCAATTGATAGATGATGGATATTAATAGCATAGAAGTTTTTCCTGATGATGATAATCAAAGATGATGATAATCGAAGATCAAAGATGATCAAAATGTTAATTCATCGATAATAAATTGTACACCACGTTCACCAATCATAACTGATGCTGCATGTGTATTTGCATTTGCTAATTCCGGTATTACTGATGAATCAATAACACGTAATCGATCAATACCTTTTACACGTAATCTTGTATCAACAACAATATCCGTACGATTTATGGATCCCATTCGACATGCACCACCTGGATGTAATGCAGTATCACCTACTTGTCTGATGATACATCTTACATAACTATCACATTGATATAATGGACGATCCGTACAGAATTGACAACCAGGTATTGGTTGTTTAAATATTTCAGCATATTTAGTAAATTCACCTGTTTGTGTTACATAGAATAGAATTTTTGTCATATCAACTAATGCTTGTAAATCTCTTTCATCGCTTAAATATTGTGGATCAATTAATGGCTGTTCAAATGGATTTCGTGATGCTAAACGAATTGTACCACGACTATATGTACGATATATGGCTGATGTTATCAGTAAATATTGTTTACCAAGATATGGTGACCAAAAATTTTCCCATTCAACCAAATTCGTACCATAACTGGAAACGGTATCTGTTAAATTTCTTAATACCATATATGCATTAACATCAATAACAGCATTTGGCCATTCTGGATTATCATTAGTTTTTGTACTGAAAAATGTTATTGAATTTGGTAATTGTGTTAGCGGGCCATTTTGATTAATATAATAATTATATAATTGTTGTACGGTTGGTCCAACTGGTTCATTTAATAATGATAAATTTTTTACTTCATAATAATGATGAATGAAAACATGATCTTGAAAATTTTCACCGACAGGTAGATCGGCAATAACTGTTATATTTAATTCTTCCAGATGTTTACGTGGACCAACGCCTGAAAGTAACAGTAATTGTGGTGATCCAATACAGCCTAGTTCAATGGAAATTACAAAATTACAAGTTACAAATTAAGTTACAAACAACAATTTTTTTACCTGCTGAAAGTATTACTTCACGATTAGCACGAACCGTATAATTATTTCCATTATGATTAAATTCAACACCAACAGCGGTAATGTTGTTTGTTTGATTATTTCTTTCAAACAATATCCGTGTTACTAATGATCTGGCCATTATATGAAGATTTTCTGGATATGGATTTGGATCCAAATAAGAATTTCCAGTTGAACAACGTTTACCATCATTTACGGTTAATTCATAAATCATTGTACCTAATTGATTTGCACCATTAATATCTAATGTTGGTATACCAAAACTATTCATTTGTTTTTGAAATACAAATAACATTGGATCTGGTCGATACATTGGTGATACACCAATTGGTCCTTGTGTACCATGATAACCAGGATTTTTTGAAACAATTTTTGGTGATGTATTATTTTCCGAACGTATAAAATATGGTAGTATTGAATTATAATCCCAACCATCACAACCATATGTTTGATACCAATTATCATAACTATGACGATTACCACGATTATAAAGCATCCAATTGATTGTTGATGTACCACCGATTACTTTTCCTAAACCAAAGAAAAAAAGCAACAACCATAGAAAATACATACAGAACGAACAGTTTACAAACCTTTTGGTTGTCGTATACGATGATCACGAAATGCTTGACCAATATTCTGTTGCGGTACGGTTAAATATTGCCAATCCATTTCAGTTCCAACTAACCATGGTGTCATACCAGGCATATCGCTTACAATACTTTGCGGACCACCAGCTTCTAATAATAATATCCGTAATGATTGATTATTCAAGGCTGCAAGACGATTTGCAACAACAGCACCCGATGATCCTGATCCAATTATTATATAATCATAATAATTATCATTATTATCAATCGATGTACGATTTACATTATTATTATGTATGATTTGTCGCTGTAATGATATTACTGAAATGGCTAATAATTGTGTTGTCAAACTGGCTGTAGACATTGTAAATTTTGTATTAAAAAAACAAAAATTTTTCACCTGTTACAAATCATTGTCTTTTTATAAAGTTTCAATAAAACCTGCATAATCCTAATTTTGAAAATTTAAAATTCAAAAAAAATTAGATTCCCACATTGTTTCTTTCAGGTAAAAATGATTTTTTTTTTGAATTTTCAATGAAAAATTTGAACTTGAATAAACTTTGTTCGCTGATGATGAGCAAATTTAGCCAGAATAATGGAAATGTTGTTGAAAACCGGTCGCGAAACGTCATTTTTTTCCTATTATCAGACATGACAAAAAACAGAATCAAAAGAAGCACCACCAGCAAAAGCAAAACAATCGATAAAAAAAGTTTAATCAACCGGACATTATTTATTCGAATGAAATTCAGGAAAAACAATGAAGAAGAGACAAAGGAAATGTTTACGTAGACAAAAACAATGAATTTTGCATGAATTCTTTCTTTCTTGCATTCATAACGCGTACCTACTTTCTTTCTTTCGAAAGACGAAAATAGCAACAATTTTTTCCAGAAACAAAGAAAAAATCTGAAACAACAAACCCATCACACACGTACATTATAATCAAAAATTGATGTTTTTGTGGTTTTCAATCCAAGCCAAAACAACAACGTAAATTAATGACGAAAAAAGGGAAAAAACATCGATCGATCGATCGAATCGATCGATTCAAAAACAACATCGATCGAATCGACGTCATCGATATGTGTGTATAATGAGAAAATGATAATGCTTGTGTTGTTGTGCTGTTGTTTACAGCGGATTATATTAATAAATTTTGCTATTTAAAAAAATCAAATTTGAATTTTTAATAAAACAAAAAACAAAAAAAATGTTTAGTACAAAATAATCATTATCATATTGGTTGTTGTTGGAAAAAGTCTAATTGATTTTTTCGTTTCGTTGCTGTTGCTTCTTTTGCTTTTTTGGGCATAAAGGCGATATAATCAAAACTGATTGCAGCATTATTATTCTTGAGAATCTTGAAAGTTTTTTTTTGAAAATCCATTTTTGCTTTGTTGTTGTTGATGTGAGAAACAAAAAAAATGTTTTGGCCATTTTTCGATCATCATTAACCATCGTCAAAATGAAGTATCGAAAACAAAATGATAAAAAATTTTCGAAAATTATTATTTTCTATTTCATCATATCGATCATATTGATCATTATAATAACCACCGTTATTATTTTTCAATGGAATTTTTTAAATAAAAATTTTTTAAAATTATTATTTCCATCATCAAGTTCTCGCCAAATTACGACAAACAATAACGATAATGATATTGTAATAACGTTAACAAAATTTATGAATGGACCAAAATTACGTGGTCAATTGATTGTCGAACAAAATGTTACTGTTGGACAATTTCTCGGTGTTCGATATGCTGATAAACCAAAGGTAAGTTTTGCTTGTTCTGATTGATTTTGAAATTTGAATTTTCTTCATTTTTCTTTTCCCTATTCTCCCCCCATCCGAAATCCCAATCAGAGATTTCGTCGATCAAAATTAGCTAGTCTGAATTGGACGGGCATTAAAGATGCCCGAAATTGGCCACCATTTTGTATGCAAAATAATCTAAAACAATTTGATTATTTAACAAAAATTTATAATCAAAATGTTAGTGAAGATTGTTTATTTCTGAATATTTGGACACCGATCATTCAAAATGATTCGAAAATCATTAATGATGATGAAAATATTACCATGATAAATCAAATGAATTTATTACCGGTAATCATTTATATACATGGTGGTGGTTTTAATTATATGGGCATCAGTATGGAAGCATATAATGGTCGAATAATTTCAGCAATTGGTAATGTTATTTTTGTTACAATAAATTATCGTGTTGGCCTGTTAGGTTTTTTCAATAATCAATTGGATGATTATGATAAAAACTTGGGACTTTATGATCAAATTTTAGCTATTGAATGGATACGAAAAAATATTCATAATTTTGGTGGTAAGATTTTGTTCATTTTGATCATTATCATTTTTCAAATTAAATTATTTTCATTATGAAACAAAAAGGTGATCCAAATCAAATTACATTACAAGGACAATCAGCTGGTGCAATTTCAATTGGATTGTTAATGATATCAACTGAAAGTCGTAATCTTTTTAAACGTGTTATATTACAAAGTGCAAGTCCAATGATGTTAAAACAAGTTTTTACTAATAATCATTATGATAATGTTATTCAATTGGCTAATTGTACATCATCGATTGACAGTAATCAAACTGATGATGATAATTTATTATCATTCAATTATGATGAATATAATGAAGAAGAAGATGACGATGAAGATGATGATGGCGAAGAAGATTATAATAATAATAATGATAAACAAATAAAACTTGAAACTGAATGTATTGAACGATTATCATCGAAAAAAATCAATGAAATACAAGCAGAAATATTGAAAGAAAATATTATCAGTTTTAGTCCAACAATACCAAGTCGACTATTACCGGATTATGTTGAACAACAATCGGATAATATTTTACAAAAAGAAATATTGATTGGTGCTAATGCAAATGAATCAACATTATATTTACATCATGAAGTACCGGATCTAATACCATTAACCAATGATTTCAATGTTAATCTATCAATTTTTTATAAAGTAATTAAAAAATTAGATAGTGGTAATGAAAATTTGAAACGATTAAGTTCAATAATATTTGATCGTATACGGAAAGAAAATAATGGTATTGATAATGAAAAAGATTTGATCAAAGAATTTATGATATTTTTAAGTGATTTATTATTCAAAGGACCGGTATTTAAATTTGCAAAATTATTAAGTAAAAATGAACAGAAAAATGTTTATCTTTATTTATTTCATGAAGAAAATTTATCCTATCCAAAATGGATTGGTTCACCACATTGGAATGAAATGGATTATGTATTTGGTTTACCGATACGTTATCCGGAACGATTTACTAAACAACAACAAATGCTTAGCCGAAGAATGATTCAAACATGGACATATTTTGCAAGAACTGGGTAAATTTTGATTTGAATGATTTTTTTTGATTGTTTTTTTCTGAATATTTCTTTTTCGTTGAAATAGAAAAATGTTACAACAAAATGGAATCGAATGGCCAAAATTAGATGAACATAATTTACATATGAATCTTATGTCTAAAAATGTTTCAGTGGGAAAAGATTTCGGTATGAAATTCTATGATGTTTATGATCTTTTATATGATTCAACGTGATTATTACAAATCGATTAATTCCATGGCCAAAATCTACTGATTATCAAATCCATCATTACAATTGTGTATTTTTTTTTTGTTCATTCATTTCAATAATCATTTTTTTTCAATTTGTGAATTAATTAATTAATTGATCGAAACCAACATCATCATCTAAATAGTGAATCTGTAGAATTTTTAATCTTTTGGAAACAAAAAACGACAAATATCAATCACTTATCATATCTAATTTTGACAAATGAAAAATGTTGATGATTTCAAGTTCAACACAGACATCGAAATAAGAAAACAACACAACCGTGTATAGCAGGCCTATCTTGAAAATATTTCTAAATATAGAGATAGCAGAGAGAGTGAAAGAGAAAGAGAAAATGAAAAAATCTCTTTCATTTCAAAATTGATTTATTGATTTTCTGTGTTTGCTGTTGAAATCAAAAACGACATTGAAAAAAAATATAATAAAGTTTGTAAATGAAAAAACAAATTTTCGAAAAAAAAAGTTCCGGGAAAAATTTTATTTTATTTTAATGAAATTTATATGAAAATTAAATTAAATTCTTTTTAAATTTTGAGGAAAAATGTTAATGTTGACTGAATTTGAAAGTTTTGTTTTTGAAAATTTTGTATTCTCGAAAAGGAAAAGAAAAAAAATGTTGACAATTGCCATCAATTGACATCCAGAAGTTTGTTGTTTGGTTATTTCGTATCCCAGATTCCGATTTTCATTCATTTCATTCAATCGGTTTAGCAAAACGGCAACGTACAAATAATGTTTGAATACTAGTTTCACCATTGAAAATTTCAATCTGTAATTTTCCCCCGACAAAACCACGTACATTAATTTTGATGGCATTTTTGCACAATTTTTTAAATGTAGTACTATCCAGATGTGTTTGCAATGAAAAAAAAGAAAAGATAAAAATAAAATGAGGAAATTAAATTTAAAAACAAAAAACTTACATAGCAATTGAACTCCAATTTTCTTTAATCGGTACAAGTTTGTGCACACGACAACTAAAAATAAATGGTTGAAATTTTTCCAATGAAAATATATCCAATAAATGAAATATTTCTGTTTTTTTAACATTGCCAACAAAACCAATGTCGAATGCGAAAATTTCAAAATTTTCATTTGCCACATTTTCCGACAATATCAATGCACGGAAAAAATAATCCTGATATTTTATCACGGCCAAATCATTTGGTTTAACATCCGTAAACATCATATCATAAGATGAATCATAAAAATGACTATTTTTGTCAGAGAGAAAAAAAATGAAAATTAAAAATTGTTAACATTGAAAAACCATTGGCTCCATTCACCACCAAAATCAAAAACATAAAACCAACCTGATATTGGTTATGAAATTGTTCAATTCAGATTTCGAATATGATTGTTCTGACATGATCAAAAAATTATCAATATCATCAACTTTAACAATCCATGCTTTATCCATCTTCAAGGAATTTGAAAAACCAGTATTCGAATCCAATAATTGAAATGATTTTGACAATTTTTCCCAATCAATAGGATTCAATTGGAAAAATTTTTCATAATTAAATTTATGTTGTGCAATGAAATCTATAACAAAAAAATGGTGAGGTGATAAAAAATGAAACATCAATATGAAAAAAATCAGTTACCACAAATTTCAACACCATGATCAATCGATGTAAAATTATCCAATTTTTTATTTGGCAATTCAATTTTGATTGAAACCGGAATTCGTTTACAATTCAATAATGGTGCTGCGAATTTTCCTTCCATTGCAATACCATCTTCTAAATATTTCAGCATTGCCGAATCGAATGCACAAAAATCTTCGGTCCATTTTTCTATTGATGATTGATTTACAGAGGGAAAAAAAATATTATTAAATTAACAATCATCATCATCGTCATACCATTAAGAAAACAATTAACAGCAAATGGCGGTTCTTTATCATACGGTGGCAATAAACGAAAAATATTTTTTCGTTCAAAAATCATTTCTTCACCATAATCATAAAGAATAATTTTTACTTTTGAATCAGCTGATTGAAAATCAATAACTTTGGCACGATAATAACTTTCATCGGCTGGATTAAGAACGGCATAAATTCTATCGACAATAACATCATATGGCATTAATGTAATAAGTTTTTGATCCATTTCAAAATAATCTTCATTCAATTTCTTATAGAAATCAATCATTTTATCATAATCAAAATTAACATAAAAATTTCTTGATGAATAAACTAAACTTAATGTAATTGTACCATCTTGAATTCGTGAATTTTTCAATGTTTTCGTTGGTAATTGTTGATCTTGAACACTACCTTCAATTTGATCAATTTTACCATTCATTTTCAATGATTCATTACTTGAACGAATAATTTTTAATAGTGTTGATTGTTTATTCAACGGAGCAATCGAATCACCATTATCCAACATCATCTTAATTTTCAAAGGATCCGAATCACCATTAACCATTTTAGTTGATGATAAATCATTTTTTTCCAACGAATCATTTTTCACCGGAATGGGCAATGTTTTTGATTGTGATAATAATGATAAATTTTGAAATTCAGCAATTGCTTCATCAATTTGTTTTTTTGCTTCAACAAGTTTTTTATATACCAACAAAGTATTTGGATCCATAGTCGTCATCATGATGATAATAATAATAATCGATTTTTCAATAGGGGAAAATTGTCAATCAAAAAGAAATCCAAGGGGAAAAAAATTCGTTTGAAACAAACCAAAAAAAAAAATGCCAAACGTGAAAAGCAAATGATGATTTGACAGAAAAAAATGCTGGCGTTTCACACAACAGTCATCAGAAACGAACGAACGAACAAAAAAAATCGACCAATGAGAATGCATACGGAAATTGCTGACAAAAAAAATTGGATCGTTCATAAATGACAGGACCGTGTTTTTTTTTGTTCAAAATGATTTATTTTTTCATCAAAAAAAAAAATCAAAAATCAAAATTAAAATAAAATTAAAATAAACAGAGCAGCAGTGAGGAAAGAAAGCAAAAGTTACAATCGATAAATAAATTATGACGATTAAATTGTGATGATGATGAAATTTTTCAACGAAAAAAAAAATTGATTGATTTTTTTTTTCCAAAAATGATTGATGATAATGACCGATAGATGGCAAAAGTTGATGGACGATATAATGAAAAAAAGAAGAGGAACTATGTTCGCGAAAAATGATTTTACACAAAAAAAAATGAGCAACATGTTTTTTTTTTCTTGATTGATTGAGAATTTGATTAGAATTTTTTTGTTTTGTTTTGTTTTGTTTTTTGAAGAAGAAAAAAAAAATAGTCCTAAAGTGATGAATTACGAAGCGGTTCACGATCGGATGATGAACTTGGTGGACGTTTACGTTTAAAGAATCCTAATTTCCATAAACAACAAGCCAATATTGCTAATATGAGCAAACCAATTAGAATGGCGGCAATTATTAACCATAATGGAATTAATTCTATTCGTCCCATACCGGTAACGAATATTTTTGTTTTAATTGTCTGTATTGTTGGCTGTAGAAAACTTTTATGTACATCATATGGTAAGGCAGTGATCATTGCAATCATTTTTGATGATTGTTCAAATTCTTCTAATCCAACTAATTGAATTTGTTCTTTCCAGAAACGTGATCGTATTGTAAATACAACACTTTCATTTGTTTCTAATTCTTGTACTATACATTCGATTTTTGTACATTTTGCAACATCCAAACATGACTATATAATTTTCAATTTGGGAAAAAAGGATGAAAATTAGCCAAAACAAAAACAATTTCAATCAAATAAAATTTACTTACACTTGTAAGTGCTTTATATTTGGCCTGAAGTTCAGCTTCTTCTGAATCTTCAGTCGTCGTTGTCGTTTGTTTTCGTTTGAAAATATTTGGTAATGCTCTTGTTTGACGATGAATCAAATGATGATTATTTGATCTACGAGACTTTAAACCAAGTGGATTAAGATCATCACGTGTAATTGTACGACAGAAACCTTTATTTGGACGACCTTTTATTTGTACTTGATCGATTAGATAGAATAGAAAATTTCCTCGTAGATCTCTTGTTGGCCATAATATTGTGATTTCAGCACGACTAATTGTTGTCATACCTTTATTCTGTACTGTATATGAATGACTAAATTCTCGGCCAATATCTTCAAGATTTTGTGGTTTTTTCCATGTTTCCAACGTAGAATAATTATATGAAATAACTTCTGGTTCGGATAAACCAAATATATTCAAATCAGCTTGTACACGTAATGGTATACCAATTTCATAACGATTATTTTCTAATTGATTTTCATTTTCAATATTAGCGCTTGTTACATTCATTAAAAATAGATAATTTGGTGTTGTTGCTGAATTAATTTTTGCCGGTTCCATAATGATAATGAATTCAGCCTATGATGAATAATTTATTTACCAAAACAACGGATGATGATAATGATAATGTACTTACTGTTTTACCCGATCGTAATGGATTGCCAATATCACATGTTAAATCATTAACACCAGTTAATTCTGGTCTTGCACCATAGCAAACAATTTCCGGCTAATTTTTTTCAAAAAAAAAAATCAAATTAATTTTCAAATCAACTTGATCCATCACATGATCATTCAATAAACTCACATGTGCAGCCGATTTATTTATACGAATATATTGTACATCATATGGCATACGCATATTGAATATTGTTTCATATGAATCTTCACCTTGATTTTTAATCCAAACGGACATTAATAATTTTTTTCGACTACCAACAACATATTCATCTACATTTCTGTAAAAACATGAAAACATTAGAAAAATCAATCAATCAATCAATCGAAAAATAGTACACATACAATTTAGCCGATAATGATAGATCAGGTTTACAGATATTATCATAGCCACAATTTTTTCTAATCGATAATTGTTTACTTAAAAAACTTGGCTGTACATTATTTAGGATAGGTGTTAAACGTGAATCAACCGATATTGTTCCCATCGGATATTCAATAGGAATATTATTTTGATCCAATAATGATGATGATGATGATGAACGTGACATTCTTGGTAGCCAATATTCTAATGTTATATTGATTGGTGTTAATTTATCACGAACATTATTCTAATGGAATGGAAAAAAATGACATAAAAGTTAATGGATCAAATAAACTGGAAAAGAAAATAAACAGAAATTTTTCATACAATAAAATATGCTTGACGTTCTTTACACCATGTTTGTCCTTTGCTTAAAATTGTAACCAATTCTTCTTCATTTTCATGTTCTTTATGTAGAAAATATAAACGGGGCATTGTTGATGATACACTTGCATCTAGCGTTGTTCGATAATGAAATTCTGTTGAATGAATGTGGGGGAAAAAATGAGCCAAAAAACATTCAAAAAGTAAACAAACAAAAGAAACTCAAAACTTACCAAGTCTATTATCAACACCAACACCGGAATATGATAGGCAAACTTTGATTGTAACACAAAGTGCACGATTACCATCATTTGTTGTACAATCACGATCTTCAAGATTAATATTATCTTTTGTTGTTTGTAATGTTGCTGTTACATTAACAACTGGTCTGGCTTTCATTAATATAATACGATCGGATTGATATGCACCAATCAATAAATCATTATAAGTATTTGAATCAATATCCATACCACCAGATAAACTATAACCAAATGTACGTAATCCTGGATCCGATATATCTTCAGCATGTATTGTTTGTGAAAATTCCGTTATAATTCCATTACGTGATCCAAGCAAAATATAAACAATTCCATTTGAATTTGGTCCATCATACGGAGCACCAACTGCTAAATCATCAAAACCATCTTTATTTATATCACCTAATGATGCAATTGAAAGACCAAAACGTCCTTTACTTGTTTTACCACTAACAAAACCATTTTCAGATTTTATACGAAATTGATGCTAAATTAATTTTCAAAAAATTGAAATTTTTAGTGAATTTTTTTTCCATTTTCAAACCGAAAATGAATGTTATATTTACATCACGATTTTGTAATGCAACATAGATTCGACCTTTTTCATAGCTTTGATCTTTTTCATTTGGTGATGAATATAATGGTGCACCGATGATAATATCATCTAAACTGTTTTTTTTTTCGTGGTAAAATTTGAGAATTTTTATCAATGAAAAATAGAAAACCAAAAAAACATACCCATCACCATTAATATCAGCAGTTGCTAATGAATAACCAAAATATGATCCCATTTGTTCACCACTAATATTGGCAATATTTTGTAATAATGAATTAAATATAACAACTTTACCGGTATGATTATTTCCTTTTGGCATACCAACCGCAGCATCATAATTACGATCATTTAGACCGGAAAATTGTCCAACAGTTATTGAATATCCTGTAAATCATCATCAATCATAACAAAATCATGATTTTTTTTTTAACAAATGAGAGAAACATACCAAGAAAACTATCATCTTCGGATGAAAGTGCTTTATTTTTCGATTGAATACTTGTCATTAATTCTAAATCATGTTCAAATATTTGTCCTTGCCAATATAAACTACCCGGTGCACCGATAAATAATTGTTTACCATTTTTTGTAACGGCTGCTGCAATACCAGCTTGACATGAACCTTGCCGATGATAACCCCAATTATTATTACGACATGGTGAATATTGATAAAAACCGGTAAATGAACCACGTGATATCCAACAAGTACCAATTGGATCTCGTCTTGTTAGGCTATTGGTAAAATAAACAAATCTTGGTGCACATGCTACAATAGGTCCTTCCGGTTGACTATGTAATGTAGCACCAAACCATTGATTAGATTTTTCATCTTCTTGATAATCATGTCCTTTTATTTTAACAACCGATGGTCCAGTACGATCAAATTGTATTTGTTGACATGTATTTATTGAATCAATTGAACAACGATAAACAGCACCACCATGTTCAACATTTGGTTGATCAGTTTGTGCTAATGGTGCACCGGCTAATAACCTAATTTTAAAAAAACAAACAAAAATGTTAATTAAATTTTCAAACATTTTTGCAACACATGTTATCAATCATCAAATATCAATCCAAAAAAAAGAAAAAAAAAGTTTTGACCATCATGGACATGTGTTGACCATATGGGCCATCTTCAATATTTCAATGAAAGTATCGTACTTGAAAATGAAATTTCCATTTGTAAATTTGCCATTAAAATATTTTTAATGTTTGCGAAAAAAAACACTAGCAAACTTTCCATTCTTATCTTTTTTTAAAAATTATTTATAAATTATCTTTGAATTTTCGAATGTTTTTTTTTCTTTCCACTATTTCAACTTTAGTTAATGATGATGATATTGTGGATTATGATGATCACTCTGTGTGACGATGATGATTCTAAAAATAGTGGATACCATATTTTTCTTTTTTACTATTCAAATATTAATAATCATTTATGCATGTAAAAATCTTGAATGTTAATGATAATGATGATGATGAATAAGAATATTCTGTTTGTTTGTTTGAAAGAAAAAATATATTCTTTCAACGGAAAAAAACGGTTTTTTTTGGTTGTTTTTTCGTTATTGTCAAACTGAATAACCATTGCTGTTAAAATAGAATCGAACGTTGGCGTTTGTTCCGCAATGTTTTTTTTGATGATTTGTATTTGTAATCATAATGTGTCGAGGTTTTTATTTTTTTTTGCATTCGAAAAATAATCTTCAAAATAACCGAATTTTGTTTGTTGATTTTTTTTTTTGGATTGAAATCAAAAATTGGATTATCGTGTCTCCGTTGTCGTCGTCTTCGTCATCATCATCATCATCGTCGGCATTGTCACCGAATAAAAAAACGAACAACAACAAAAAAAAGAGCAAATTCTGTTGCCCGACTTTGATGACATATCCATCCATCTCTCTCTCTGTTTGAATGATTTTTTTTGTATGTAAATTTCATTCACGTTGTTAGTTTGATTTAGTATCCGGGAGATTTTGCGTAGGTTTTTTTCGCAAATAATCGTGGTTTTTTTTCTCCCTCTCTTTCTCTGTGTGTTTTTTCTTCCCTCTTTAATCATTTCAACAACAACAACGAAAAAATAATTATAATAACCGAAAATAAGAAAATTTAGAACGGAAATTTGAATTTTTGAAAACAACAACAACAAATTTTTTTTTCGTGCTAATTTATTTTCCGTGAAAACAAAAAAAAAACAGCAATCACCAATCACTGTAAATTTTTTCGATTCAATTTTTTTCACTGCTTTTTCACAAAATGACCACCAACCAAAATCTTAATGGTCAACATTTGATTTTCTATTTTTTTGAAAAATATGTGTGTCAAACAGATGATAAACAACACACACACACACACAAAAAGCAGATCGACAAACAAAACGAAGATTTGTTTGTTTGATCAGCCATGGCCAAAAGACAGAATATTTCATCATGTGATGAAATATGTTTCAAAAAAAATCAATAAATTTTGTTTGAAAGAAAACCAGATCAAAAAACAAACAAACTTACCAGCTAACATTACGATCTTTATGTAATGCAACCGAAAAACCAAAATAAGTATCGGTTGGACCACGTTGTATTAATGCTGTAAATGTATCCAAATTAAATGCATTTATCAACAATGTTGATGATGATAATATTGATAAAATTATTATCATCATCAATGAATTAAAATCATTGTAATTGATTCGATTTCGATGAAACCAGATACGTTTATGTTGTTCTGGCATGATGATTAATTGATGCAATCCTTTTTTTTTTTGATTGTTTAACAAACAAAATCAATGACTAGTTTTTTTTATTGATCTTTCGAACGAATTTCACACAATACACCCACGCACAATCATAATTGTTTTTTGTTTGTTTGAAATGAGGGTGACGAGAAAAGAAAGAAGAAAATTTCATTTGAAAATGAATCACATTGTTGAAACCAGGAATTTTTTGTTTTTTGTTGGAATTTCAGAATAATCAGATAGGCGGCATCATCCACCCATCGAACACATCAAACACACACACACACACCCACCACTATATCGACTAATGTTGGCTATTCGAATAAAACAACGGAAAAACATTCGATTTGTTTTTGTTGTTGAAAATTCTGTTGTTTATTTGATGAATTTTTTTGAATGAAATTTTTTAAGAAAAATGAATGAAAAACGGTTGGTTTCTGGTTTCAATAATATTTTTATCGTTGTTTGTTTTTAATGTATAATTTTTGTCTTGTCTTTTTATTTCAGTTTTGTTTATTCGTCGTCGATTTCATCGTTGCTGTTGTTCGAACGGTTTTTTTCTAATGAATCACACACATTTTGTTCAACATACCGGGCAATATGTGTTCAAAGTTTCGTCTTCGTCATTATCATTATCGTCGTCGTCGTTGTTCATTTATTGCAACTGTTGTTGCTCATCATCAACACACCACACCAAAAGATATTTACATACCACCATTTACAAGAATGAAATGAATGAAATGGCAGTCAAAGATATTTTCGGATTTTTCATCCGAAGAAAAAAAATTACACACAAACAAATAAACGCACCATCTTTGCCCTCATTGATGATGATGATGATGATAATTTGAATGAATATTCTCATCATCATCAAGCAACAGAATTTTGCCGCTAGTTTCTTCTTGTTCCGTTTGGTTTTTCTCACTTTTCACTGAAGTAAAGTTATTTGTGAAAACAAGAAACAGAAATTTTGGCAGAATTTCGTTTTGTTCTGTTGTATTTTGGCACATTTACGATTTGCTTAAATGCTGCTGGTATGGTATATGTAAATCTTATATGTTTAGATATTTCAAAATTTAAAATTTTACAACTAAACACAGGCCATATGTTCTAAACCCAAAAAAATCATTTTTATCTTCTTAGTCGAATTATATACAAGAACTGTAGCGCTGTATACAATCGGCTGTTCGGTTCAGTTGGTCTTTTTTTTCTCGTGTCAAACAAGAAAAGAAAAAAATCAATGTTTGTTTGGAAAAAAAATGTTGCTGGATTGAAGATATTATCCATCCATCAGCCAACACAAAAGTTCAATGATTGAAGATGAATGACTGTGTGGAGAAATAAACGAACCAACCGACCAGAGACAAACACCATTATAACGGAGCATCTTTATTGAAAGAAGATTTTTTTTTCTTTTGGATAAACATACTGCCCTCGAATATTTATCTCTGTATTCTTTTGCTCTATATTCATGTCATGGTTGGTATATTGTTGTTGTTGTTGTTATTGAAAATCGATGAAAGGAAAAAATTAATCCAGAAAAATAATTTAACATCATCATCATCGTTGATTATCAACTGAGATATTTGTAACAACAAAAGCAAACAAAATGAATGAATTTTACTCATTCATATTGATCTTCTTTACTTTCAATGATGATGATGATCGATCATAATTTAATTCAATTGATAAATGATGTTCAACAAAAAACTGTCAAATCTATTGATTGTTGTTGTTTTTTGGGATACAACGATGATGTTGTTGTTCGGTTAAATCCAAAAACGATGATGTTATGTAATAATTTGACAATAAACAACAACACAAACACTTTTTACTAACAAGAATCAATAAACAAAAACTGTCAAAATAAAAAAATTGATTAAAATATCTTTGCGGATGATGTTAGTGGATTACATCATCAAAATTTTTCATGTTTGTTTTTTGCATTCACAAAATACGGTTTTTAAAAAAGAAATTTTTCGGGTTGAAAATTTTTCTTTGCAAAGTGATGCTGATGGTGGTGGTAGTGGTTTGGTCATTGAAAACAACACCTGTTTCAAATGACCAAATCAAACAGAAACAAGAAAACACCTGCTTCGTTTTATTTCTAAATATAGAATCCACCAGACACACACACACATCGATTATGATCGATGATTAGATCAACAACAAAGGTAAGATTCCAAAAAAAACTGGAAATTCAAATTCAAATTTTACTTTTAAATTTTTTATTTTGAATTTAATTATCAAGGAAATGAAATGAAATGAAAAAAAACAGTGATGAACCGATGAAAATGTTAATGTTTTTTTTTCATTCAATGTTTTTTGTTTTTGTTTCTTTTGGTTTGTGTGAAAAATAAACATTTGAAGAAAAAAAAACAGAAAAATGAAAAGTAAATGGAGTATGAGTGAGTGAATGGAAATGAAAATGAAAAACCAAATTGAAAAATCATTTTTTTTTTAAATAAATAATTTTTTTTTTTTGTAAAACCAAAAATGGTTATGATGATGATCAAATAATTCAAAAGAAACATGACCTTCATGTGTTCAATAAGTGAAGTGAAAATTCATTGAATTCATAAGATGTCTGATTATGTTTTGTAACCGGACGGTTACAGGAATCCAGGATGTTTGCTGTTTTTAATCAATCAATCAAATTTGTTTGTTTTGTTGTTGTTTTATCTTTTTCTTAACAAATCGATTACATTTATATTGATTTGAACATTGTTTCCACCATTGTTTTTTCTCCACACGATGTTTTTGTTGAATAATAATTTTTTCGATACGTTTTTTAAAATTTTTCGTTACAAATTCATTTTGTAATAAATGTTTAAGGATTCTGTAAAAAAAAGTAAAATTTTTAAAAACATTTTTTCCATAAAAACAAAACAAGAAACTTACAGCGATGCTGCAACACGTCTTGTATTTTGATATTTATCCAATTTCGATGTCTTTGATGATGGTGAATTGAGATAATGGTGATCTTGATGATAATCATCAACAATTTGGCATGCTAATTGTTCAAAACAATGATCGTTTGTTTGAAAAAATCCATCATGGTTTAAAAAATTTGCCACTGCTTTATTCAGCCATAAATCATTTTGTTGAAAAATTGGTTGTAGGAATTTTAAAATTATTTCAATATCATCCATATCGTTGTCATCACTGATCGTTGTTGTTGATGGAAAAATTTGACGTTTTCTTCGACGACGACGACCAGCAGCAACTGTAGCCGTTATCGGTATAACAACCGGTGTTAGCATATAACTTAATAATGGTGATAATAATAGTGGTATCGATGCTAGCAGCAAACCTTTTGCCGTAATACCTTTGACCAATAAAACTATTTATGAAAAAAATTACAAAAATTATAAATTATAAAAAAATTACAAATCAAAAACTCACTTTTCTTCAATTTAGCCGCTAATAATGTTGATATTGATGGTTCAAAATGATCATCATATGAATCATGATGATGATGATACATTGGTGACATCATTGGATAAGCGGATGATGATGATGGCATATCATGATAATTATGATGATCATAATAATCACCACCATGATGATGATGATATGGTTCATGATTATGATGATGATAATCATTTAAATGATAATCATTTGATGATGAGGGTAAATATGTTGATGATGGTGGATGATGATCTTCATCATAATGTCGATGAATGTCCATCATTGGTGGTGATGGATAACCATCATCAACAATAATATTATCATTATCATGATCGGATGATGATACAATTCTACCACCAATATTATCACCACCACCACTTTGATCATCATTTTGATTATTTTCATCGTTTCCGTTACCACTATTAGCACCACCACCACCACTACCACCATAATAATATTGTCCTTTAAATTCAATAACTTCTGGTTTTTCAATATAACCATAAACGGCACTTTCTTTACGCATTTCATAATCATCACCATCTTGTTGTTGTTGTTGTTGATAATCTTGACCATCGAAATTATCCTGATAATTCGATGGATTTCTTCGTATCGAAACATTTGATGATGATGAAATTTTCCTTGGTAAATTTGCATTTGAATTTTTTGGTAATTTTTTTGTTACCGAATATAATGCAACCGGTATGAAAATGGATTTTTTTCGTTGTCGTTGTATGGGTAATCTTTCCACCATTGTTGTTGTTGTTGTTGGATGATAATGATGATGTCCATGAATTTTATAAACTTTACGTTTTTTCTTTCGGCCATTACCACCATTATTATTATTATTATTTTTAATCAATTTTGAACGAACAACAGGAATCTGTCTTGATTCGGCAACATTTTCTATTGAGTTCGATAATGATGGCTGAGTGATGATGGACGAATTAATCGATAATGATTCATCGATTAATCGATGATTTAAAATATTTGTATCATTGTTATTAAAACATAATGATGGTGATGATTTGATAATTGATTCGGCCAATGTTGATGATGATATACAAACATTTTGTACATTTTGTATAGTCGATATTAATAATAATGTTATTAATAAAATTGCCATCAATGATGGATTTAATAAATTCAAATCAAACAACAACAACAAACAAAATTTGAATAAAAATTCCTTTCAAATAAATCTCATCAGTATGATTGATATTTTAATAATGTTAAAATTCATTTTTTTTTCGTGGTTGTTATTCTCGTTGTTGTTGTTGTTGAAATTATGCGAAATTCCATCAAATAAATTTTTTTAAGAAATTTAAATTTTTATTTTTTTTTTTAAAAACTTGTTATCAACCAAGAAAAGAAAATTAGAAAAGGCGTCATCATCGTTTCGTCGCCTGAATCCATCCATCCGATAAATCAAACACAAAATGGATTTTTTTTTTTGAAAAAAATTACCCGTGCATAACACGGGTTATTCAATTTTTAATAACAATGATGTTAAGGGGAAAAACAGAAACGTTTGATAAATTTTTATTTAAAAAAAGAATTTTTTTTTTTGACAAAATCAAAATTCAGTGAATCAAAAATTTGTCTTTCTGCTGCTGGTTTGTGGTTCAGTTGACAAAATAACAAAAAGAAAAACTAAACGAACAACAAATGTTGATCTAATTTTCTTCATTGAAATTCTGATTTTTTTTGTTTTTCTTTTAATTGTTTTCGTTTTTTCGATTGAATGAATATTGCAATTGAAGAAATACTTTGGAATTTTGAATTTTTATCAGGGCATTTCATTTCTAGGACATGGAAATTCACGGTCACAAACAGCAACAAAAGATGGTTCTCGATCATTCAACGATGATGATGTTCCAGATGAAAAAGATGATGTTGTAGTATGATCATAACCAAATAGAGCAGCACGTTGAAGACGACGTTTAAATTGATTATCAATATGACTATTACGCAATAATGAATAAATGATTCTGATTGTTTTTTTTAGAAATAGTCAAAAAAAAGAACGATAATGATTATCATTTTTTGTAATTAATTAATTAATTAATTCTTTTATAAACAAAACTTACAATGCAGCAACATCTCTTTCTAATGGACGTAAACGGCCATTTTTATAATCAGCATAATGACATGCTAAACGTTCTAAACAATTATTCGAATTGGAAAACATACCACGACATGATAAATAACTTGCAATTATTTCATCATTATGATCTGGTCGTCCGGATTGTCGTAAATATTGTTGTACAATATCTAATTGAAATAATTCCGATATTGGTACAATACGTGTTTGATTATCTTGATTTTTTGGATCGTTGTTATCGTTATTGTTGAATGTTGTACCATTCCATGGATAATTTATCGATGAATGATTGGTTAAATTTTTAAAATTATCAAATGTTGTTGTCGATGATGATTGATCGTTGATTGTAGAATTTAAAAAATTCAAAACATTATCATGTAACGATAGGCTACGTTTTCTACGTCTACGTCCAAGACCAGTTAATGTTAACATAGTTGTAAAACTACTTACAGCCAAACTACCGATTAATGGTATTGCTGCTAATGGTGCCAGAATTGCTAATAAATCCGGTATACCATTATCATGTTTACGTCGGATATTTGGTGCAACTAAATGTACTAAAATTGGTGATTTTGGTGTACCATAACCATTTGGTTGATGAGAAAACTGTACAATTTCTGGTTGTTGATGATGATGAACATATGATTCTCGTTCTTTGATATAAGTCATTGGTGGTGTTATTTCATCAATAATTTCATCATCGTCATGATCGTTATCGTCATCTTCTTCTTCGATTATAATCTTATGCGGTAGATTTGGATGTTGATCATTATGATGATGTTTATGAATTTCATGAAGTATAATTGCTTTGGAAACATTTTTAAAAATTCAGTTAAATTCAGTTTCAAACTGTGAAAAAACAACAACAAACATACCCTGTTCATTTGGATCAATTTTATCATCACGTTGATGATGATGATCCGAATTGGTTTTAATAATCGATATTGTTGATTTTGTTCTATCGTTTAATGGCAAAATGATTGCTTGTTTTTTATCATCATCATTATTATTCTTATCACCACCGCCGCCATGATTATTATCAACAACAACAACTGAACATTGATTTATTGAAAGATTTATCGATGAAGAAAATATTATGAATAAAATCAATTTGATAAGATCCATAATATTCGATTTTTGTGTAATAGGATTCGATTCTATTTTAACCCAAGTTGGATATTAAACACACATCTGTGTCTGTGTTCGTGTGATGTGTAATAACAAGATGAAAAAAATGAATTTTTCGCCAAAAAAAATAATAATAATAATTTTCGGTTGATTCGCTTCGATTCAATCAAAAAGATAATGTTTTGGCCAGATGTTTTTGTTTCTCACTCAAGTAAGTCTGTCTCTGAAGAAATGATCTTTTCTCCCGAAAAACAACGAAATCTCATTTAAATTTTCTCACCTGAAAAACAAAACAACAACTAAGAAAACAAAAATCCTGTACAACAGTGAAAACGTTGTCCATTTTATTTTGAATGGAAATGTATATCTCGGTCATTTTTTTTTGATAAAACAAAGATACCGTTGATAAACAATGAAAAAAATCCCGTTCATTTTTTTTAAATTGAAACGAAACATCACGATATATCCGTTTACCTAGTTTTTTTCTCAGTTTACTTCACCAAATATCATTAATTAAATGCTTCAACTCTTTCAATTTTGTTTTTTTTCGATAAATGAATGGATGCTTAAATGAATCTTGTCTCTCTCTCTCTCTGTTGTTGTTGTTTTTTTCCATTCAAATTGCATTTTATCAATTGAAACAACAACAGCAACTCTCTTTTTCTGTTTTAAATTATTTAAAACATTTTTCGTTTCGTTTCGACTGACTTTCGTGATGTTTTTCTGTTGAAAACAAAAACAAGATTTTCTTTCTTTCTCTAATCTCTATATCATTGGTCGTGATCATTGAACGAAAACGAAATAGAAATTCCACCTATAGACAAAAACAGACATGTTCCAAAGAAAAAAAAACGAAAATCTCATCAATTTTTTTTCACATTTATTCAGGATTCTGTGCAGAATCATCAGAATGGAATTGAGAATAATTTGGTAAATTCCATAACCTGGAATTTCAAGAAGAAGAAAAAATTCTGCTGTCATTCAATCGTCAATATGCTGTGTGTGTGTATTCACGGTGTGCAATCAATCGGTAATACACAGAGTGAATCAAAATTTTCTTTCAAAAAGAATCCCAAAATAGGTAGAAATAGGAAAACATGAATATTTATTATTTATTTATCATATATACGATTCTTTATTCAATGAAGAATTATTATTCAAAAAAAAAAAATAATAATAATAATAATGATGATTCTTTTTCACATAAATATATAGTGTCTCTTTTGATTCTTCTTTTTTTCAGCATAGAATATTCTATACATATAGGTATGGTGATCACTTGCTCTCTCTCTCTCTCTCTCTCTCTCTCTCTCTCTCTCTTTAAACACACACTCAGAATTACAGAATTTCGAATACTATCTCCACTATATATTTCTCAATAGGTTTCAAAGTTTTTTTTTTNTTCTCTCTCTCTCTCTCTCTCTCTCTCTCTCTCTCTCTCTCTCTTTAAACACACACTCAGAATTACAGAATTTCGAATACTATCTCCACTATATATTTCTCAATAGGTTTCAAAGTTTTTTTTTGTTGTATGTGTGACGATGGTTTGTTTGTTTTTAAATGACAATGAGATTGATTGATTGATAGATAGATAGATAGTGGTGATGGTAAAATGAAATGAAATGGTCAGGGGCACACACACAGTGAGAGAGAGAGAGAGAGAGAGACATATGGTTATTATTTTCATTTGGTGGTTCCAACAACAACAGAATTGAAGAATAATTTTGGAAAAAAAAATTCTTTGGATTCTTTAGTTGGTTGGTTGATGGACACGAATTGAGCATGCCCACAAACATTTTATATATAGAACACCTATTTGCACACACACAGAATATTCGTTGAAAATAGGAAGAAGCAAATGAAAAAAAAAATTCTTTCCTTTTTTCAATCAAAAAAAAAACGAAAATTTCTGGATCAAATGCGCGCTTCGAACAAAAAAAAACAGAGAGATGTTTAAGATTTTTTGTGTTTGTGTTTGTGTGTTTCTCCTCTCTAGTCTCATTCCCGTATTTTTTTTTCTTCGCAACGAAACCAACGGTTTGGAAGAAACCAAAACAAACAGAAACAGAAAATAACCGAAACGTCGACAATTTTCACTTTTTTTTCACAGTTTTGTTTGTTTTGTTTTTTGTTTTTGGTTCAAAATTCAAAAACAACCAACCGATAACGAATATGTTGAGAGCTTATTGTTGAAGGAAAGATTTTCATTCATTTTTCTTTCCCAAAAAAATTTTCTTCGTTGTTTCAAAATCGAATCGAAAGAATCACTACCGAAAAGTGATTTATTGATTTTCAATTTAAAAAGATTTATTTAAAAAATGAAAAATTCAACCAACAAAATTCATCACAATGTAACTCAATGACAAAAAACGAAAATCGAATCCGTCAATACCACCATCACCCAACTATCGATATTCACAATCGATGTTGAAAAAAAAAGAATCTTTTCTTTTTCTGTTAATTGATCTCTCGGCTTCCATTTCAAAAAATTTTTAATTTTTTTCCAAAATTCTTTCAAAATTCTGCTGCTGCTCTTTGTTCAAATTCATCACCATCGTTAAACAATTAAAATAATCTTTATTGGAATTTGATATTTTTCCAAAGAATTTTTTCATCAACTTCTCATTCACTCACTGCAAAACTTTACAATTTTTGTGTAATTGAAATTTTCATCTTTTTTCTGCTTCTGTTTGGTCCTCCAAATTCATTTGTTTCATCGTTTTTCCTTCATTTTGTGTTATTTAACAACGATAAAGACGACGACGACGACGTTGTTATCAAAGGTAAGTTTTACAACAACAAAAAAAACTACCACTCCAGTTTTCCACTCAATCAATCAAACGTTCGATTGATTCAGGTTTTTTGTTTCAATTAGAAAATCAAATTAAAAAAGCTTTTGATTCAATTATAAATCCATTTGAAAGGAAGATTCGTTTTATCTCTTGGTGTTTTTTTTTCTATCCATTCTCTTTTTCACCAGAAAAAATTCGTAATTTTTTTTTGTTGGTTGAGGTAAATTTTTAACTAGAATTTCATATATAGAGCAGAATTATACGACAACAACAACAACAACAGAGAATTCAATTCAGAAAGATTCTTTTTTCCAGACAAAAAAAAAGTTTTCTTTCTGGTATTTTTCTGGTCTACTCACACACTGTATGTTTTTATCTGGAATATTTTTCGTTCGTTTTTTTTATATAGAAAGTTTTCATTTTTTCGCCAGGTTTTGGATGAAAAAGAAAAAGTTTTTTTTCTGGTTGTGTTTCGGTTAGATATGGTTAGATTTATAAATTGAAAAAAAAATCCAGAAACACAAGGTTTTTTTCAAACGGGAGTTTTTCCAGTTTGGAAATTACAAATACCCGACACAAGATACACAGACATCTTTTATTTCAAAAGGATTCGGTTATTATTATTTTTTTGCAGGGTTATTTTCATTTTTCCGAGAGAGGGAGAGAGAGAAATTCACGTCCAAAAGAATATTCTCTTTATTTTGGACGTGAATTTTTCTTTTTTCACTGGGCTATTTTTCATCATCAACAACTTTGTGTAAATAGAATTCTTGAATCAAGTAAACAAGAATGATGATGATGATGATGGTTGGTAAAAAAAAGTGAAGAAAAAATAAATAATAAAAACAGATGGATCCCATTAGGCATTGTGGTTGTTGTTGTTGTTTGGTGGTATACACTGACATGAATTCTTGATTCTCTATTTCCACCTACATATCACCAATACCAAAGTAAACACTCTCCTTTCATATTCAATTCTAATGCGAATGCGTTTCACTCCATCATCATTTCATTCGTTGAATTCCGGTATTAAACCCTCGAATAGAGAAGGAAGGAAGAAAAAGTGAAAAAATTTTCGTCGTTGTTGTTGTTGTTGATGATGATGCCCTAAGCAATTTATTTTCATTTTCATTTCAAGACTTTGAAACAAACTAAACAACCAAAGTATATTCTGTTTGTTCTGGATTCTCTTCTTTTTTTTTATATTCTGTCAAAAATTGAACCACACACTTCACTAACTAACTAACCAACCAAACCATCACATCCTGAAAAATAATCCAGAATTGAAACCTGATATTCCTCTCATAGATTGATGTTTCCCTTGATAATTTTTGTTTTTCTTGGAAATCACCCTAATCATCATTAATTTTATTTACCAAACAGAAAAGTGATGATGTTTTCAACAAGAATTGTTTGTATAAGTAATTGAAATTCTTTTGTTTTGTTTTTAGTTTTTTAGCTATTTTTCATCAAAGTCATTCACAACAAATGAAATGACATCCGAACATCGTACAATACATTTTAATGATATTCTTCATCATCATCATGATGATGATGATAATGTTGATGATGATGATGATGATGACGACGACGACGACGATGATGATGATGGCGAAGATGATGATGATAATGACGATGATGATGCCGATGCATCGAATAATCGAAAAAAATCAATAGAAAAATCAAATAAATCCGATGATATTATTGAAACAAAACATGAACAAAATGAACCACAACCACAACAACAACTACAACAAGTAAGACAACATGAACCACCAAATAGTCTTCATTTGGGTAAATCGAATGCTGATAATAATAATGATTATCGTCAAAAATCAACATCAAACATTAATCAATCATCATCAACAAAAACGAATAAAGGAAAATTAATGCATCAAGAAACTAATGATATTGTTGGTCAATTTGATTTTGATTTAAATTTTGATCTTGATGAAGCTGAAGATACTCTGGATTATTCTATATATGAAAATCGTACTGGTTTAGCTGAAGATATGAAATTTTTAGCAAGTATGCCCGAATTATGTGATATAACATTTTTAGTTGGTAAGTTTTGTTTTCTTGTAAAACTTTTCAATTTAATGAAATTTTGTTGATTTGAATTATTTTCAAAGGTGAAAAATCTCGTGAACCAGTTTGTGGTGTAAAAGCAGTATTAGCATCACGTTCAAGAGTATTTCATAAATTACTTTATGGACAAAAACAACCAACAATTATCAATCAACAACAACAACATAAAGATGATAATAAACAGAATAATAAACGAAAAGAAACAACAACATCATCATCATCAACAACAACAACAAGAGATACTAAATTGAAATTATTTCTTAAACGTAGTTCTGAACCAATATTAAATGGTCTACCATTTAATCAACAACAGGCAAGTGATAATATGTGATGATGTTGATTAAATATTTACTTAATGTTTTCTTTTATATGACAAATTCATTTCCATTTACAAATTTTTCCATCCATTTTATTATGTAGCCAATAGTACAAACACATCAAACAATGATAATTGAAGAATTTGAACCAGATGTATTTCGTCAATTAATTGAATATATTCATACCGGTTGTGTTACATTACAGGCTCGTACATTATTAGGTATGTTTGATTCGATGTTATGCTTATTCAAACGTAAAAGATGGAAAATCGATAATTGATTGATTGATTTTTTGTGTTCTTTTTTTTCACACTTACCTTCACTTATCTAATATAGGCTTAATGAATGCAGCCGATTATTATGGCCTGGAAGAATTACGTCGTGCTTGTATTGGTTTTGTAACATGTTGTATTACTGTTGATACTGTTAATTCAATATTAGCATCAGCTGAACGTTATATACAATATAAATGTACAAAATCATTAGTACAACGTGTATTAGAATTTGTTGATAAACATGGTAATGAAGTATTATCATTAGGATCATTTGCATTATTACCTGAACATGTTGTACGATTAATACTTTCACGTGAAGAATTGAATGCTGATGAATTAACCAAATTTCAAGCAGCATTACATTGGTCACAAAGATCATGTGAATCATCATGTGGTACATTAGATTTACGTGATGTTATATCAAATTTTTTAGAATGTATTGAATTTTATAAAATTCCAGCATCAATATTGATGCGTGAAGTTCATCCATTAGGTGTTGTACCTGATCATGTTATTATGAATGCATTAGCATTTCAGGTAAATAATTTGTTTGATTGATTTACATTTTTTCAAAATTTTATTTTCCAGGCTGATCCAAGTAGTGTTGATATTCGTAAAGTTGAATCACCAAATCGTTTTCGTCGTATGACACTTCCACATGCATATAATTTAGCTAGTTCTGATCTTATTCATTTACGACATACGGCAAATTTTTGGGCTGAAAGAGCTGAATCATCAACCTCGACAACAACAACAACAAATAAAAATAGTGGAACATCTGTTAAGGAAAAAGATAAAGATAAAGATAAATCACGTATTGGACGACGTCGTGCAAGTAAACCATTTAAACGTTCAAAAACATTAATGGAAAGTAGTTGAAAGAAGATTGAGCAAAAAAAAAATATTATTATGGTCTTCCTTATTGGATTTTATTTCAATTTTATTTTCTGTATAAAAAAAAATTCTACTTCATAGCCAAAAAATTGCTTGAATCAACCAACAAGTCACTATTGTGCCAAACAAAATATTGAAAACCAAAAAAAACCGTTGAACAACAACAATTGAACAAATGAACGAACGAAATACCCAAAAAAAAACAGCACAAGAAATTTATTTTTCAAAACAAAACAAAAACGAAACCAAAGCTTATTTTAAACATAGAATATCCCAAATCTCAATCGATTTGCTAATGATGATGATGGATAATTTAATCGCCAAATCTTGAAAAATTTTTTGAAACAAATTCCAAATTTCTTCTCCCACTTCACTTTTCTTCCAGTCATTTTTTTATGATTTTTGAAAATTTTTTTTTCTTCCCCTGCCAATTCTGTTGTTATTATTATCAAAGTGCCCTGATAACCTTGAAAAATGTCCTTTTTGATTTTGAAATTGTAACGAATTCTGTATGTGTGTGAATTTCATTCTATTCCAAACGAAAAACATTTCACATTTTCCAGAATGTGATGAATCCCTTATTCATAATCTAATTTCCCTTCACACAAAATGAATCCTTGTATCACACACACACAACCTTTTTTTCCAAAAAAATTATTTTTCTAAAAACAATTTTTTTTCAATTCAAAGAAAATTCCAACTAACCAAACTTTAAACGTCCACCCAATGTGCCCAAAAATCAAAAAATTTTTTCCGTTGTTTTTTGTTTTGTTTTTGTTTTAATTAATGGATAATGTTTATTAAGAAAAAAAATAATTTATTTAAAAAACTTCCTGACAAAACACCTTCCAGATTGAAAATAAAATTAAAAAATTAAAAAAAAAAAAAAATGGAAATTTGAATTTCTTTTTCGTTCGCCAGCCAGCCATCATTTCGAATTGATGAATTAGTTTGTGTGAGAAATTTCACTCATTTTTCTCCGAAGATCTAACTTTTTTTTATACATAAAAATTTCCATTTCGAATCACGAGCAACATGGTCAGGTTGATATAAGTTAAATCGGTGTCTTCGGCCACAATTTTCTCGCCGATTACCATTATCTTTTCACCGATTTTTAAAAAGCTGACTGTGCTTTCATGAATTCGTATGTTGAATCCTTCTTGTTCATATAACGAACAATATTTTTTGTTGTTGGCCATTCGTTTACTATTTTATGAAATCAAAAAATGAAAATTAAACCGTCCTTCTTTCAAGATAATATAATTCTTACTAGTTTCATCTGTTTCTTGATCCGAACAAGCGATTTTTGCTTGATGTAGCCAAGAAAGTGAATAGGCCACATTTATAAAGTTTTTTGAATGAGCGACCAATGTTTTGAGAAGCCGGTGCTTCCTCTCGAAGCACATTGTGGCAAATTTACCTAAATTGCCGTAAAAGTTCATCATTTCCGAATAGTGGGAAATGAAATGCAATTTGGGAGTAACCATGTTATTTTTCTCCATCATCTGTTGAAAAAATAATTTCAATAATTTACTAAACGATTTTGTCAAAATATACCTTAATGAATGATGAAATTAAATGAAGATAATTCGGAAGAACCCGAATTTTCTGATTTGTTATAAATTCGGTGAATCACGTTTCTCGAAGTTTTTCGAATAATTTTACTGTTATAATGTTATAACTGTCTTAGTAGAGCGATGTTAGAAAGATCACACAAGCAAAATAGTTGCTCTCAGAAAATAAGTCACATTTATTAAACTTCATTCGTGTTTAAATACAAACACTGTTCTTTTCGAACAATTTTATTGTACACGTTTTATAAAAATACATACATTATGATCTAATAAAGACAGTGTTGATAAAACCTCATATCGATTCTATAGTTCGTTTATTCATTTCGTATTTTCGTTCACATCTACACAGTGTTGCAAAACAACAGTCACACATATTTTATGAACGGTACAAAATAAATTCAGCATGCTAAAAAAAATTCACCGTATCCGGTTAGTTTCATCACATTGGTCTGCAGGCAAATTATTTTAAATCGATTTCTTTTTTAGAAATTTGAATGTTTCATGCGCTTGTTGGAAATATTTTTCCAAGAATTTTCAGTAATAGAAGGTGAACCATCTAGTCTTAATATTGATACGGCAAAATTCGTACGATTGGCGTTAATATCAAGCCAGGATTTTGCTCATTTGCATTTGAATGAAATGGATCGCCTCAGTGGTTGTATTATTGATAAATACGTTTCCATCTGTTCAGCGAATTTCATTGGATTTCAATGTGACTTACAAGATTCATAATATGCTGAATCTGTTAGAAGATTTGAACCACTTACCCAAGAATTTGACGCTTAGGTATGAACGATGCCATCGGAATTCAAAACAATATGGACGTAATATGAATAATTGAGTGTCTCTCGCTCAATCTTTGAGCCAACGTCAAGCTTTGAGACAAACTCTATCGTTTCGTATCACCAACTGAACGTCAATGGCTGTTTCTTTGAAAGGTTTGAGCAAAATGATTATTCAATCAAAAAATCTTTTTTTTTAATAATGATATTTGAAATTATAAGCAGATTCAAGCCGACATCCATTTTATTATTCATCGATTTCCGAAATAATAAAAACCCACTTTATGAATGAGCAACTTATTACCAATATGTGACGAATGGAGGATATGTCACAGTATGTACGCGATAGTGGTTAAATTATGCATGGTTAAATCATTCTATGTCACACTGTATTTCCAATCATATTCGAAGCTTTGAACGCAAATTAGAATTGTTGGAAACAACATCTTCAGCGAAATACTTTGACTCACTTTCCACATTTAGAAGAACAAAGTCTTGCATTAATGATTGTAACGTGCTTCTATGAACACGTGTTATTTTTTGTATTCATTCGTTTATATCTTAATTATTTTAATAGACGAATTTAAAATTTGTTTTGTTGTCCATCTTATTTCACACTTTTTATTGTTGTTATGTAAATATAGAAACTTTTTCTTTAAAAAAATAATAATAATAAAAAATGATAAATAAAAAGTAGAAAAAAATTCAAGTTTGTCATCATCGACGTTGAAATTGTATGGGAAATTTTGCACTCGGATGTATAAAGTCTAATCGATTGAATGCATCACCATATTGATCTAATGATTGAATTTTATATCGACCAATAATGTTTATAAGAAACAATCGCATTTGCATCATTGCATATTCTTTGCCAATACAAGGACGAATACCACCACTAAATGGAAAAAATGTTAAACGTTTATGATCGATAGTGATTCCTTGATCATCATTGTCATTGTCTTTATTGTTGTCATCGTTATTCATTAGAAATCTTTCTGGATTAAAAATTTCTGGTTGATGGAAATATTTCGGATCACGATTAATACGTCGAAAAAGAAACATAATATTAACACCTTTTGGTATATGCCAGCCATTTGATAATTGTATTGATCGACAAGTACTACGTCCAATCAAACTAGCTGGATTATAAAGACGTAATGTTTCATATATACAACAATCAAGATATTTTAATTGTTTCATATTCGATATGGTAATTTCTTCATCATTTGAATTTAATCGATCATTGAATTGTTGAATTTCATCGTATAAACGTTGTTGAATGGATTGATGATGTCCAAGTAAATATAAACACCATGATAATGATGTTTTTGATGTATCATAACCGGCTAAACAAATTATATTAACTTGTGAACGAATTTCTTGCATTTGGGTTATATTTCCATCAATAATTCTTGATCGTATCATTTGATCTAACATTGTCTCATCATTATTAGCTGATTGTTCTTTACAATCCTCTTTTTCATTATCATTACGAATGATTGCTTCAATACGTTCCGTGATAATCTTTAAGCGATTAAATAGTTTATAATAGATGAGATAATAATCATTCACAGCAAAAAAATACCTGATCGATACCGATTTTAAATCGATAATATAAATGAGTAAATTTTTTCGATAAAAATAATAAAACATTATAAAATGGAATGTAAAGAAAAATTGGATTGAAAATTTGCATCGAACCAGTAGAAAGTAATTCACCGACTATTTCCAACCAATCGGTCATTTTAAAACCCGAACGTATGGTGTTGAATTCGGTATTGAAAAAATTTACTAAATTTTTTTGATTAGACCAAAAAAAAAGTAAAGGTAGAAAAAAAATGGTAAAAATCAGATAGAAAAAACATTTACCTCCAATCGAATCGACAATAAAACAATCAATAATTTGTCCAGCATTCGGATAATGACCATCATTATTATCAATACAATTATCAATATTTTCATTCAATAATTTTAGAAAATTTTTTGAATTTTCTAAAAAATTATTCATTGATTGTATACGAAAATATGGTAATAATAGTCGTTTGTTTTGTCGTAATGTTCGTTGATTACTGTTGAATTACTGAAAAAATGAAAAAAAAAATTAATCAAAAGAAAGAGAAAAACTTACCAGGTAAATAAATTATCCTGAATAAGAAAATGAAAAAATCGATATTCCATCGATCTATTTAGGAAATTATCATTGTTTAATAATTTTTGTGCCATTGAAAAATCCGTTACAATTAAATGCTGTATTGGTGTACGTATTAAACAAAATAATCCATCCTGACCGTATTCATCCGACATACGATTGATTATATGATAAATATCTTTGGATTTTTTTTAAATGAAATTTTTTTTTTAACAAAAAATAAACATTAAAAATCAAATTACCATGAAATGGTTGTTTGGATGTTAAAAGTTTATGAAATTCTTTATTGAATAATATTGATGAATTTGGTCCGGGAATTTGTTTCAATTGTAAATACATTTGATATTGATATCTAATGTATTTGAATATTTTTATTAAAATATATAGAAACAATATAAAAACAATGGCTATAATCAGACGATATGTTAACATCATCATCATTATCATTTGTTTTTTTCGGGTTACAGACAATGAAATGAAAAATCAATTTTTGTCAATCACTCTTTATATCGTCGAACAAAAAAATTTCCTTTTCATCGAAAATCTGTCTACGTTGGTTTGTATACAAAAAAATTGTTTTTATTTATTTTTTATCAACAATAAGAAACTCTTATACCAAAAAAAAAAATAAGGGTGAATAAGGAAAACATTATAAGAGAGAAAAACAAATTAGAAAGGGGGAGAAGGAAAAAATTACAAATCATTTAAAATTAAAACTCAAAACGAAGTGTATTGAACCTTTAAATACTTTTAATTATTTTAACACAATCATTCACGTTTCAATTAAGTATATTAATGTCAAATAATCACCGTATTTATAACCGATTATTATAGAAAAAGTAAAAAAAATTCAAGTTTTTCATCATCGTCGTTGAAATTGTATGGGAAATTGTGCACCCGGATGAAATAATTCTAATGGTTGAAATGCATCACCATATTGATCTAATGATTGAATTTTATATCGGCCAATAATATTGATAAGAAATAATCGCATTTGCATCATTGCATATTCTTTACCAATACAAGAACGAATACCACTACTAAATGGAAAAAATGCTAAATGTTTACGATTGATAGTGATTTCTTTTCGATCATCATCGCTATTCATTAGAAATCTTTCTGGATTAAAAATTTCTGGTTGTTGAAAATATTTCGGATCACGATTAATACGTCGAAAAAGAAATATAATATTAACACCTTTCGGTATATGCCAGCCATTTGATAATTGTATTGATCGACAAGTACTACGTCCAATCAAACTAGCTGGATTATAAAGACGTAATGTTTCATATATACAACAATCAAGATATTTTAATTGTTTCATATTTGATATGGTAATTTCTTCATTATTCGAATTTAATCTGTCATAGAATTGTTGAATTTCATCATATAAACGTTGTTGAATGGATTGATGATGTCCAAGTAAATATAAACACCATGATAATGATGTTCTTGTTGTATCATAACCGGCTAAAAAAATTAGATTAACTTGTGCACGAATTTCCTGAATTTTCGTTATATTTCCATCAATAATTCTTGATCGTATCATTTGATCTAACATTGTATCATCATTATTGGCTGATTGTTCATTACAATCCTCTTTTTGATTATCATTAATGATTGCTTCGATACGATTAGTAATAATCTGTAAACAAAATTAAGTGAAATTAAGTTTCGAAAAAAAAGATGCGCATCTCGATTTAAATACCTGACCGATACCATTTTCGAATCGTTGATATAATTGAGAAAGTTTTTTCGAAAAATAAAACAAAGATTCATAATATTGAAAATAGGTTAACGGATGAAACGTGAAATTAATTCCTGTATGAATAAATTCACCGACTATTTCTAACCAATCGGTCATTTTAAAACCCGAACGTATTGTGTTGAATTCGGTATTGAAAAAATTTTCTAATGGAAAAAAAGAAAAACATCAACAAAATTCATTTGAAAAAAAACGTTATTAATATTTACCTCCAATCGTATCGACAATAAAACTATCGGTAATTTGTCCAGCATCCGGATAATGACCATCATTATTATCAATACAATTATCAATATTTTCATTCAATAATTTTAGAATTTTCTTAGAATTTTCTAAAAAATTATTCAATGTTTGTATACGAAAATATGGTAATAATAGTCGTTTATTTTGTCGTAATGTTCGCCGATTACTTGCATATTAAAATGCATTGATTATACAAAACAAAGAAAAATTGAACAAAAAAGCAAACTTACCAGGTAAACAAATTATCAAGAATAAAATGATTAAAATAACGATATTCAAATGATTTATTTAGAAAATCATCATTGTTTAATAGTTTTTGTGCAATCGAAAAATCTGTTACAATTAAATATGATAATGGTATACGCAATAAACAAAACAATCCATCCTGACCGTATTCATCCGACATACGATTGATTAGATGATAAAGATCTTTGGATTTTTTTAAAAAAATGAAATTTACAAAAAAAAAAACAAACATAAAAATCAAATTAAATTACCATCAAATGGATGTTTGGATGTTAAAATTTTATGAAAATCTTTATTGAATAATATTGATGAATTTGGTCCGGGAATTTGTTTTAATTGTAAATACATTTGATATTGATATCTAATGTATTTGAATATTTTTGTTAAAATATATAGAAACAATATGAAAACAATGGCTATAATCAATCGATATGTTAACATCATCATCATTATCAATTTGTTTTTTTCGGGTTACAAACGATGAAATGAAAAATCAATTTTGTCAATCACACTTTATATCGTCCAAAAATTTTTTTTGTTGGCGATTCTCATCAAAAAAAAAATCTTTCGTATGTTTGTGTGAAATTTTTGTTGTTGTTGCTGGAAATTACATCCATAAATATTTCCATCTTTAAACAGATCTTTTTTCTGTGTTAATTAATTTGGTGTGAAAATTGATTGACGTCAATTTAGAAAATGAATCTTGAAAATTTTCGTCTCTCTTTCCTGACCGGTTTTCATCGAAAATCAATCAACAAATGATTAACATTCCAATCAGACAACAGTCAGGATGGCCGAGCGGTCTAAGGCGCTGGTCTCAAGTGATTATCCCATCATGTGGATAAACTTGACATTCGGACAATACGGATATAGGAGCGGATGATTGTTGAAAATCATTGATCGTATCGAAGCTCTCCTTATCTCTAATGTCATCGAATGTTGATTGATCCAATATCAATGGATGCTAATAGTGTGTAGTAGTATACCAGTCAACAATTGTTGGCGTGGGTTCGAATCCCACTCCTGACAGATAATAAATTTTTTTCCGATACAAAATTGGGCTAAAAATAGATTATTTTCTGCTAAATTATTGGCGCCTTGAAGTGAAAAATTTTTCAAAAAAAAACGAAAAACTTTTTCCACATCAATGGCATGTATGAGTCGAAATAGTTTACCAAAAAAGAATTTCACGTTTTTTTGTTTTGGTGATGATGAAAATAAAGTTTGATTAACGAAACAAAAAAAAAAAAAAAAATGCCAAAACGTAAACAAAAAGGACTTGTTTTGTTGGCCTATTCGGATTCTGAACATGAAGAAGATCCAGATGATGATGAACAACATGATTATGGTAATGATGATGATAATGATTTAAAATCGAATGATGAATCCGATTATCAATTGAAAGATAATGATGGTGTTAACGATGATGGTAACGTTGAACAACAACAACAACAATCGAATAAATGTGAAAAAATTTATTTCGAAGATATTTATGGTGATCGTAATCTATCTATATTAGAATTTCATCAATCATTATTGGGTAAAGTTGATGTTAACGATATACAGATACCACCAGCAACAAGAATATCATGTCCAAATGAATTACAAAATCAAATTGAAAATTTATATGAAAAAGTTCAAAATAATGATTATGATCTAATACATGCTATACAGAAACGTAAATCAATGCGTAATCCAAGTATTTATGAAAAAATGATTTCATATTGTGAAATAAATGAAATGGCAACAAATTATCCAAAAGATATTTATGATCCAGAACCATTTTTACAAATGGAATCATTCTATGAAGAATTATCTCGACAACAAAAAGAATTGATGGAAAAACGTGAAAAAGATAAACAAAAACAAAAAACATCATCATCAACAACAACATCGACGACGATTGGTGAAACAAACAATAAAAAAAGTAAATGGGATTCTAATGCCGTACCATCATCATCAACATCGGCAGCCGTAGCTGCTGCATTAGCAGCAGCCAATAAAGTTAAACATTTGACCAACAGCAACAACAACAACAACAATTCACATCACCACCACCACCATCATCATCATCATTCATCAAATAAACCGACAGTCATTTCAGCATTTGGTACAATTTCAAAAAAGAAATGAATTTTGTAACTTTTTGTTTATTCCCGGAATAATTGAAATAAAATAAAATACATTTTATATTGATAAATATAAATACAGAAGATGGATCAAATTTCTTTGTTTTGTTTTTTTTTGTTTACATTCGAATACGATTATAAGCGGCTCGATTAGTATTGGTATTAGTAATATAACGTTGTTTTCTTTTATCTTTTTTATATCCCATTGTAAAGATGACCAAAAATGCCGATACTAATGCCATAAATTGAATGAATGCAAATATTATTGATGTAATACCAACACTATGAATATTTGTTAATAAATAATGATGAATTTTTTGTAAACAACCATATTTCCAAATGTATTTTAGATCGGATTCAGCATCAAAACCACAAACATTATCATCATTATTAAATGTAGCATTGTTGTTTGGACGACAACAACTATTTGGTACACGTAATTTATCTGGCCATGCATTAATCTGATACCAATCAGTGTAATTATTAACACCACAACAATGAAAATTGGTTTGTATATGATCCCATGTTGATTGTATACCATTAGTATTATTTAATGAATATCGATGCTGTATACCATTCAATAATTCACTTTGTAATGTTTGTGATATTTGTGTTTGAAATATAAAACATAAAATACCGATAAATATTTCTACAATCATTATAAATATGATTGAACTTAAGTAAACGGTCAATAAACATTTACTTTGAAACCATGATCCACAACAACCACAAAAAGCAACTAAAAATGTTATTGTACCAATAAATAGGGCAAGATTATCAGCCGATAAAAGATGATATGATGGCAGTATTCTTGCATATGTATTATATGATACATATAGCCATATTCCGATTCCTAATAGACAACTTCCAGCCAACTATTTTTTTGAAAAAGAAAAAGAATTACAAAAATTAATCCAATCAATCAGAAAATACCACATACCCATACGATCAGGTTGAACAGGCAAAGAAATCGACGAATAAATGTATAACCAGTTGCCATTATTGTTAATGTACAATTCATCAGCATTGTTTTCTTCTTCGTTTTATATAATAAAATTTGATGAACACAGAAAAAAAACTTAAATAGCTACCACTAATGATGATGATAATGATGAAAAGTGATCATGAATTGATCATTCGATAATAAGATACAATTAATGTGATGAATGATAGTAATGGTATTGTATTGCACAAAATTATCATCAAAGCTGCCAATGATAATTCAAATAATTCGTTCAAATGTGACTTGACATAATCGGGAATTATATTTTTAAAAAGTTTTTTTTTGATCAATGTCAATTCAGTCAATCGGTAGTAGTGATGGTGAATGGTGCTAGTCGTTGTTCAATTTGATTCGAATTTTAATGGAATGTCCATTCGATAAAATATAAATGGTTTATATAAACAGAGTGAGAGATGGCCAAATTGAAGGCAAATCAAATGATGATGTGAATGTTATTGGGTTATGTTAATGACACGACAATCATTTGAGGAAGCGATACAGAAAAACAAAAAATGAAATAATCATAACAAATAATCATTTCAATGTAGAAATCATCATCATTATTAACTCTTCAAGTTAATAAGCATCTAAAACAAAAATATAATAATAATGAAGATAAATAAATAAACACAGCATTTAACGTGCCAACATGATGATGATTTTTTTTCTGCTGGGCGTCAGAATCATGTCAATGTTGTTTGGCTAACCATCATCATCATCGACATCGTTATAACATGACAGGCTTGCCATTCGCCATCTTCATTTTCACATTCGAAAATCATTTTGTTTTTGTTTGTTGGTTTGATGATGATGTTGATATCGATAACCATTACCAAAGTAGCTAAAATTGTAGGGAAAAATTGAAAATGAAAAAGAGAACAAGAGAAAGAAAGAAATATGAGAAAAAACCTGTTGACATGGTGATGATGATCAAAAAAAAGAAGGTTGCCACCAGGCCATACCACTACTACTATATATTTACCGCTGGTAATTGGAAAATATTTTCGTTCATTAAAACCAAATTTGATACAATTTTTTTTTGAAATTAAGAAAATTTCTCAAATCGGATGTAAATTGAACAATTTCTTCCCAACCATAATCAATGATGTTCATTCGACATGATGATAATGATAATTACCATTCGAATTCGAATGATAATTATCTACCTAAATGAATCATTCGTATCGAAATAGCCATTTACGTACTTTATGATTTGAATATTTATTGTTCAGCGGTGTTCGATTTTTTATTCGATTTTTGGATCGGCTTTTTTTCACCAAAATAAAACTGAAAATGATTTTCGAAAAATTCAAATCAAATTTAAGGGTAAGTATCTGAATAAAATTTTTACAATGATGAATAATTTGATGACCATCGCCACTGATTAGACTTGTATTCAAAGTTTTCTGACGGATGGAAACAAAGATCTGGTTCTGAGTCAATTGAATACAACCGAACGACAACATTATGAAAATGATTTCAAAGTCATTGTTGATACTATACTTCGAGAAGTGTTGATATTGACATTATCTTCGGTAAGTCATTTTGGATGATTGGATTCAACATTCTTTGAACATTCTATCATTATTATCATTAAAGAAAAACGAAGCTGATTATGAAAAATTAAAACATCTACTCCAATTATCGATAACATTGGCCAAAAGTGAACATTGTTCCATCAATACTCCTATTGTTTTGCTAAGTGAATTACTTGATTGTTGTACATTGAAAGAATGTGAACTATTATTTTCGCTTATCGATGATAATATTCATATATGGAAAGAGGAATTTTTCTTCAAAAATGTTAAAAATCAATTGCTTCGTACCTGTAATGATTTGCTCAGAAGACTTTCAAGAAATCAAAACACTGTATTCTGTGGAAGAATTTTAATCTTTTTGGCAAATTTTTTCCCATTGTTTGAACGATCCGGTTTGAATTTGACATCCGAATTCAATCAGGATAATTCGACATCATATTCATTACAAGCGGATGATGAAATTGATGAAAATCCATCCATTGATGATATTGACAACGGTGTTGAAGGGGAGAAAGAAACTGATCGTATCAAAGTTGATATGAATTTTTATAGAAAATTCTGGCAATTACAAGAATATTTTCGTAATCCAACAATCAGTTATCAACGAAATAATTTTAAAAATTTTCAAAATTATTGCAACGAAGTTTTATCAGTATTTTCTGGCTATAAAATTGATCCAAATTCTTGTTTTTATTTTCAAGCCCTTGGACTTGATAACAACAACAACGATGATGATAATAAGACAATATTTTTTGTTAAATTTTTAACAAATCAAAAATTATTAGAACTGCAATTAAGTGATTCAAATTTTCGTCGTCACATTCTTATACAGATATTGATTGTTTTTCAATATTTTACATCGAATGTTAAATTTCGTATTATGGAAACTGCATCATTAAATGATGAACAATTATCATGGATAAATACTATTCGCAGTAAAGTACATCAATTGATTGAAGAAACACCACCAAATGGTAAAGAAGTTAGTAAAGTTATTGAACATTTATTGAATCGTGAAGAATTTTGGAATAATTGGAAAAATGATGGTTGTAGTGAATTGAAACAGATTGAAGAACCGGAAGATCAACGTAAACGAACAGCCGATTTTATTGCATCAACATATACTGTATCGCAGAAAAGAGCACGACTCGGGGATCATGTACGAAATGCTATTAATAATAATAAAATTCTTATCGGTAATGCTGAATTGAATCGTTTATGGAATTTTTGTCCCGATAATTTGGATGCTTGTCGTTCAACGAAACGAATATTTACACCAACAATTGAACAATTTTTTCAACCATTATTAAAACGACCATCAGATGAACGACAATATTATTGTTCGGATCCAAATTATTGCTGGAAATCATTACGTTTATTATGTCAAAAAAGTAATTATTTTTTTGTACCAAGTAATCAGGTGGTGAAACCTGTATCCGATTATCTTGAAGGTGTTATTGAAAAATTGGCTAAAGATTATAATTTTTCAACACCAAAAATTCAAAATTCTAACAATAATAACAGCAATGACAATGGTAATGGCAACAACGATATCAACATGAATAACAATAATAATGATAATAATAATAATAATGATGATAATAAGACTGAAACTGAAGATATTAGTGATGATGAATTATTGAAAAATGTTGATTCAAATTCGGTTCGAAGTAATGATAATGATGTTGATGATGATGATACAATGGATGGTATGGATATGAATGGAAATGATTCCAATAATAATGATAACAACACTAATGTTGATGATGTAATCACTGCCAATATAATCGATCAAATTGCTATTAAAGTTCAAGATTTTTGGGATGAATTATCACCTTTATTTGGATTTACTGTAAGTTTTGTTTTTTTTTGTTCTTTAAAAAGAATTATCTTTATTTGTTTTCACAGTATGATGAATTAGATTATATTAAAGAATGTTATCCGGATAAAGTTGCACGAATCAAACATCTAATTACAATATGGAAAGATGAACAAGGTCCTGAAGAAGGTAATGTAAAAAAATTACAAAAAATCATCCAGACAATAAAACCAGATATGACTATTGTCAATTGTTAATCGAAAAATTTTATAATTTAATATTTTGAAATGAAATGAATTAAAATAAAAATTGAAACAAAAAATTTGAAAAAATTCGGTTCGTACTTTATGAACGGTTTCATCGAATTATATCACCATCGAATTGATATGAGCAGCAACTAAAAACAGAGAAGAAGAGCATCGAGCTATACAAAAAAAATATACATACCTTTGGAATGTTTTGAAAAGTGCATTGAGCCCGATCATCATCATCATCATGATGATATATAGAGTGTATTATGAAGGAATGAAGGAAAATATTAAAAAAAAACAAGACAAGATCTTTTTGACACTCGTTACGACGAATTTGTGTAGCATTTGTTCAAATCCAAAACGATAAATGTGTAACGAATGACGACTATTAATTTTGTGTAGAATATAATATCATCGTTGTTCCGTGTGTGTTCCAGCAACAACCAAAAAAAAAATCCGATTGACCCACGAATAAACTGAACCAAAGAAGTAAAAGAACCACCCCATCTGCTATATATGATGATGATAATCTATAGCAGCGGCGCCTGAATATATTTGTGTTGTCAGTCAGTGTTGTGAGTATTGGATTTCATGATCATCATCTTGATCATCATATAGCCAGATTGCAGAACACGCCAAGCCCAAAAAAATTTGTGAAACACTATATATTTCATTTTTTCAATTCAATTCAAACACTGACTATGTCAATGAATTCATTATAAGAATGTTTTTTTTTCTGTTTCTGGTGTGAGTTTTTGAAAAAAAAAGTTTTCATTCCCCTCTCAGTTTTTATCAATGATTTTTCGATGTTATTGAAAATTTATTTTTGACCATTGACCATCATCATTCCATGTCATCATCATCATCATCATCAAGAATCGATCGACAAGCAAACATCATTAACCATTTTTCTTCATATTCGTAATGTATTCAATGAATTCTGATTGAATGTTATTTGAAAAATCAATCGATCGACAAAACTACTTGAATAATAATCTTAATAATGGGTAATTGTTGTATAAAAGATAAAATTCCTTCGGGATCAGTATCAAATGGATACCCTGGTGCAGATATATTACGACAACCACAATCATCATCAATGAATGTTCCAGTTATGACTGGACCAGTTAGTGGTGGTGGTAACCATCAAGGTTTTAGCGGTTTAAATCATGAATCAATGAATCTAAATGGTGGTGGTTTATCATCAAATATGAATAATCCATTACCATTATTACCATCATCGATTGATAATAATAATGGTGTTGGTGGTGGTATGGTTGATCCATCATTATCTGCGATAATACAACAACAACAACAAAATTCTGGCAACGGAAATATTTGTACAAATTCATCCAACAACAATAATAATTTAACGAATGCAAAAATATTTGTTGCATTATATGATTATGATGCCAGAACTGATGAAGATTTGAGCTTTAAAAAAGGTGAACATTTAGAAATTATTAATGATACACAAGGTGATTGGTGGTTGGCAATGTCAAGAGTGACCAAATTACAAGGTTATATTCCATCAAATTATGTTGCTAAATTGAAATCAATCGAAGCTGAACCGTAAGTTTTTTTTGTTAACATCAATATTATCACCCGATGACCCCCTTCAATCCATTCCCATACATTTTGTTTTGAAAATTCCAAACAACAAAATCGTTTTTTGTTTTATTTTAGTTCCTTTTATTTTTTCTCTTGGTTTTTCCACGATTAGTTTGATATATTACTGAGATATAGTAAAGAATATTTCACGTTTCATTCATTCCCGAATGTTATAATTTTTTTTCACCTGAAACAATTTTCATTTTTTCCTGATTAATTTCTGATTAATTTTACTAATTTTATTATTGTTTGATGCTTTGTACAAAATGCTGCCCGCAATCAATCTTGTAGTTGGATACGAAATTTCGATTGCATTTTAAAACGAAATTCTACACATTTATCTCCGACTTCGTCGACTGTACCACTCGAAAATTACTTGTAATAATAATTCTTTGTTTTTCTTTTCTATTCTGATAATTTTCTTTGGTTTTATTTATTTCTGTTTGATTTTTTTTTCTAAGTTTTGTTTTTGGAATTATTTTGATTATCGTTTGATTATTATCTGCATTATGAATATCTTTCATTACTAATGATGTCTTTGTTTTCTTTTATTCTTGGATTTATAGATGGTATTTTGGTAAAATTAAACGTATTGAAGCAGAGAAAAAGCTATTGTTACCTGAAAATGAACATGGTGCATTTTTAATTCGTGACAGTGAAAGTCGTCGAAATGATTATTCATTATCGGTACGTGATCATGATACGGTTAAACATTATCGTATTAGACAATTGGATGAAGGTGGATTTTTTATTGCAAGACGTACACCATTTCGTACATTACAAGAATTGGTTGAACATTATAGTAAAGATGCTGATGGTCTTTGTGTTAATCTGAGAAAACCTTGTGTTCAAATTGAAAAACCAACGACTAGTGGCCTTTCACATAATACACGTGATCAATGGGAAATTGATCGTAGTTCATTGAAATTTGTACGAAAACTTGGTCAAGGACAATTTGGTGAAGTATGGGAAGGTTTATGGAATAATACAACACCGGTAGCTATTAAAACATTAAAACCAGGAACAATGGATCCAAAAGATTTTCTTACTGAAGCACAGATAATGAAAAAATTAAGGCATGCAAAACTTGTACAATTATATGCCGTCTGTACGATGGAAGAACCGATTTATATTATTACAGAATTGATGAAAAATAGTAGTCTTTTGGATTATCTACAGGGAAAAGGAAGAAATATGAAACTGCCACAATTGATTGATATGTCTGCACAAATAGCTGCCGGTATGGCATATTTAGAATCACAGAACTATATTCATCGTGATCTGGCAGCTCGTAATATACTTGTTGGTGAAAATAATATTGTAAAGATTGCCGATTTTGGTTTGGCACGTTTAATCAAAGAAGATGAATATGAAGCACGTGTTGGTGCTCGTTTCCCGATCAAATGGACAGCACCGGAAGCAGCAAACTATAGTAAATTTAGTATCAAATCTGATGTTTGGAGTTTTGGTATTTTACTTACCGAATTAGTCACCTATGGACGTATACCATATCCTGGAATGACGAATGCTGAAGTTTTATTACAAGTTGAACATGGATATCGTATGCCATGTCCACAAGGTAGGATTTTTGCTGTTGTTTGTTTGTTTTTGGCATTTTATAACTAAATTTTGTTTTAATATTACAGGTTGTCCACCTACACTGTATGATATAATGTTAGAATGTTGGAATAAAGAACCACTGAAACGGCCAACATTCGAAACATTACAATGGAAATTGGAAGATTTTTTTACGTTGGAAGGTTCCGAATATAAAGAAGCATCGATGGCCTATTAATTTTATTCATTTTGGATGATGTCATTTTCCCTCCCATTTTGTATTATATATTTTAAATTTTGAATGAAATTCACCGGTCATCATTTGCCATAATCCATCGTTCGCTCTCAATCAATCAATCGATTTTTATTCATCATCATCATCACCATTCATTCATTTTATTATTAGCTCCCATTAATTATATTTCATCGTTTTTTTTGTAATCTCCATTTCTATTTATACATTACCATATATAAGTTTATATATTCACTTTTCATAAATTTTTTTTCCTGGCTTTAACAAAATGATGTAATTTTTTTCGATGTTTTCAAGAATTAAATAATTTTTCAACAACAACAAAAACGAATTAAGTTAAATTAAATTACGTTTTTCTACTCACTGCAGAATATAAAACATGATTGGATGTGATTTGTTTTCGAAATGTTTTTATTAATTCACTTTGTGTGTGTTTGTGTTTGTTTGACTTGAATGGAATCGAAAACCACCGATCAAGAAAAATGTCCAATATGTTTGGAAACAATAATGGAAATGGCTATTATTGATGGATGTTATCATCAATTTTGTTTTGGTTGTTTATATCAATGGACATTTATTATGAAACATAATCGTTGTCCATTTTGTCGTAATCATATTGATACAATACGTTTTAATATACGTTCCAAATGGTCATATGATTGTTTGGAAGTTGAACATTTATTTCAAAGACATCCATCATTTTTTCGTTTACATCAATTTCATTAACCAAATGACTTTTTCAAATGACTTTCGGCTTTTTTTAAATAAATATTCTGTAAATTTGTTTGTGTGTGCGAGAAAAATATTTATAATGATTATGATTATTATTTAATAAAGTTGTAATTTTCTTTTGAAAAAAAAATAAATTTTTTTCTCTGTTTAGGATAAAATTTGAATTTGAATTAATAACGAGATTTTTGAAAATAAATGTATTTTTTGAAGGAAAAAGTATAATAATTTTTGTTAATTTTTGCAAATAATCTGAATAACTGTGTGTGTGTGTGTAGCTTAAAACAAGACTAGTGATTTATTTTATTTGGATTAGCTGAAATGAAAAACCTGCATTGTTTGTTATCTATGTGTTTATGTGGTGATGGTTAAATTATTAAGTAAAATAAATAATTTGTGTCATTATTGTTAACCGATAAATTATACCATTGTAAATTTCTTGGAGATTCATTGAAAATCTTCTCACTTTTCTCTTCTTGCTTATTTTAAGAAAGAATCAAACATTATCGATATTATTTTTAATCGATTCTTGTTGTTGTTGATTAGATGTTGATGTAGTTTGTTGTTGCTGTTGTTCAATAGTTATGTGTGAATGTGATGATGATGGTGGTGGAGAATCCAATGAAATTGTTCGAAATGTTGATGATGATGATTTATCGGAATCCAAGGGTACATCAACAACCTGTGTATATTCTGGTGGTTTATAATCAGGCAATTTTGTTGCTTCATCATAATCAGGTGGTGGAATATTTGCAGCCATACGGCCATTCAATATCAATGGTGGTAAATCATGATCAAATTGTCCACCATTCACACCACTGGCTGCTGAACTCAATGCAATAGGAAGTATGAATTCTTTCATATGCAAATAACGATAACATTTCCAAACAACGCAAAGGAAATATGTTTTGAATATCATGAAAAATGTCATGACCAACAATGTTGTTGTATAAACTTGAAAATTACGCTGATAGGTAGATGCCCAAACGGTTGTTGTGTTTGGCATATCATCAAAATCCGATGTACTTAGCTTGGAATCCGATAATACATTATTACCAACATTATTAACACCATGAATTTCCATCATATTTTTTGTTGTTTTTGCTGTTGCCGCATAATAATGGTATGGATTGGTGAATAATGCAAAAAATTGTGGCAAAGTAAAGAGATAATCAATAAATTGTATACCAAAAAATGGTAAAATATATCTTGGTTTTGATTTAATAACGCCATAAAGAAGCATAGCCGATACCCAAGCCAACAATAGATACATTAATACCGAAATCAAATTTATACGAACGGTTTCATCACGAACAAAACGACTAGCAAAATAGCTATGCATGCCTTGATGATCATTGCTTACCATAAAAAAGAATGTCAACAGGGCACAAATCAATGAACCAGCCTATAGTTAACAAAAAAAACAGATTGTTAATACAAACATTGAATCGAATAATAATGATTAAAATTACCAGATTAATGACGGCAACAAAAATGGTCGCTGGTCGAACATGAAGACAAAGACAATAAGCATGTCGTTCAACATTGATATTATTCGCTGCAATCAATGATACACGTGCCATCATTATTTTCGTTTTAGAAAAAAAAAGAATTCAAAATATTTGACGATAATGTTAAATTTGCAAATTAAATCCTCTTGCAAGCAAAAAAAAATGAATGTCAGTATACAACACTCAACCAGAAATGAATGAAAAATATTCGTTGTTCGAAAACAAATAAACAAAAAAATAATAACAATTTGGCTCAACATGCGCACAATTGTCGGCTTTCGAAGAATTTTTTTTCCGTTGTTAACCTCGAAATCGATTCATTTCATCACCCGTAGATGGCAGTACTTTTCAAAATAATACTCATTGAAACCCGTGCCGGAAATATTCGATTTCGTCAATAATTTTTTTGGTTTTTTTTGTTGTCAATTTAAATATCGATTTTAATTGATTGGATATTGGTTTCTTTGTTTCGTATATCAATCACATTGTTTGTCTGTTTGTCTGTTTACCAATTCTTATATTTTTCTTTTTTTTTGTTTCATTGCAGGTAACAAACAAAGAAGAAGTTCAATAAAGACATTGTTAATTAGTATGGCCATTATCATTCACAATGATGATAATGATTACCACCCCAGTGAACATAAAGAATGAATCCTCAATGCCATAAGATTGGAAAAATAATTGCTCATTTTCAAAAACCGAAAAATCTAAACCACCACCACCACATACCGAATAATGATCGATCCATTTTCATTCATTCCATTTCCAGACAAATTCAAGGAAACTGTTCAACAACAACAACAACAAAAAAACATACATACACCAACCACTCAAGCATGCAAACTAATCGAAATGTGATTCATATCATCATCTCATCTCTTCTTCATCATCACGATGATGAGAATGAAAAAGAATCGAATTGTTCTGGAACCAAACAAAAAAATATTTTCAAATTTTCTTCTCACTCTCTCTCTCTCTCTCTCTCTCTCTCTCTCTCTCTCTCTCTGGCTATTGTCATCATCATCATTATCATTGTTGTGGGTATATATTGTATTCACTTTCTTGGTTAAGTCATACAAAAAAAAATGATTGATAGAGTGTGTGTGGCTTTATGTCAAAATTTCTATAATAATACCCGTTTGTTTATGCCAATCATCATCATCATTCACTGTTTCTGGTAATGGTTGAATTTCATTTAAAAGGAAAAAAACGGTATTGATGGTCGTCGTCGTCGTCGTTGTGGTGGTGGTAACCAATTGGTATTTGGGTTGTTGTGGCCAGTTTTTTTTTCTTTCTCATTTCCAACTACCATTACATAATTATTCGAAAAAATTTTACCTTGATATCACGAATATGATGATGATGATGGTCGTAGAGGTACACCAAAGTAAAAAAATGAACTAGTTCACATAGTTGTCGAACCGACCAACCAGAAAAAAAACCGAAGAAAATAATACGTTCCAAAACATACCGACCGATAAAGGAAGAAATGAAAAGTGAAAAAAAAGTATAGAAATTCTTGTCATATGAAAATTTACTGGTAGCAATATTGGTGGTGGTGGTGGTGGTTAACCGTTAAAGAACCGGACAAAATAACCAACGAGAAAAGAAAAAAAGAGAATATTCTGTGCCATTGAGAGAGATTTATTTTTTTTTCCTTTTTTTCAAAAAGAAAATCGTTAAGGACGTCATTTATTTAAACGAAACGAAATGTAGTTGATCAATTTATGTGTGTGTGTGGATCGACCATAATCGATTTTATTCGCCCTAATCACAAACAACAACAATCATTATCATCTATAACATTGATTATATTATGAAATATATTTTTGTCGCCAAAAACAATATTCATTATCAACGGTCATCATCAATTGGATTGAATGTTTTTTACACACACACACACACAGAATAGATATTATCATCTTTTGGATTATTAATATTGAATATTAGAGTAGCCGAAAAAAAAGAGTTAAACTTGTTAGTTAATATTCCATATACTTTTCATAAATATTTTAAATCAATGATGATGATGATTTTTGTTTTCATTTTTTTCCGGTGTCTAGATAAAAAATGAATAAATTTTGGATCGAAAGAAGAAAATTTTATGGTGGAAAACAAAAAATTCGTGATTAAACCAACAAACAACCACGGTTATTCAACGAAAAGAGTTATTTTCTCTGCCAATTTTTTTTCTTTTTTCGCCAGCGTAAGTTTAATTTTAAATATTTTTTGTTTGACAAAATGGAAATTTGTTTTTCCTAATTCTTAGTTAACCCTTTTTTCTATTTGTTATTAGTTTACCTAATCATAGTTTAAGGAGGAAAAACAGGTCGGCAAAAATGATTTATCCAAAATGATCATCAATTCTGGCTGATATTTCTGAAATTATTTAGTATCGTTGTAGCGAACTTTTGAATCAAGAATTTTAGAATCCAGAATCTTTTGATTTAGATTTAGATGCACCCGTATAATTTATTGCATTTACAACATTTATTTGCATTTTCCTTCAAACAAATTGAAAAAAGCTAATCTAATAATGCTCGTCATTTTTTTTTCTTATCTATCGTTTTCCTTGTTGTTGCTGTTGTTATGTGAATGAATTTTAGATTTTAGTTTTTTTTGTGATCGTGCCTGAAGTTTTTTTTTTGAATTTTATCATCAAATATTTATTATTCGAAACAATCATAGCCAGTTTTTTTTGTCAAAATATAAATGCACGGTATTGTGGTCAATAATTAATGTTTGCCTTATTATCATCATCATCATCCGCATCTATATTGCATCATTTACAACTGCAAATTGTCCATTCAAATAAATCTTATAAAATAATGAAAAAGTTGTTCCACAAAACAGAAACCAAAACAAAAACAAAATGATGATTGAAACACATTTATCGAATGAAAACACTATTATTTAGCAAGTATTTCAAATGATGTAATTAATCAATTATCCGCATCATTATCATCATATTGTCGTGTGTGATATAAAAAAAAAGACAAAATATGTTTTAAGCATGTATTATGCTCAGAATTGCCTGCCTTCTTACTGAAACAAAAATTCAAATATTTTGTTTGTTGTTTTGCTCACTGTCAGAAAAAAAAATTAGTTAATAATGATGATAATGATCGAAATTATTAGATAATCAATTTGAACATTGATTAGTTATTATCATTTATTTTTGGAGGAGAAGGGGAGAGCAAAATAAATAAATATTATGAGCACTGCAGCTGTAATTGGCCGACAATTACGGCATCATCAGCCAACGAATCGTGTACCTGGTCCAGTGGTACCACCAACACATTATCGAGGTAGATCAAATAATCTTAATCTCAATAATAGTAATAATCATAATCATAATAATGATCATCATAATTTGGCCAATAATATTGATTTAATTAATATTAATGTAAATAATTTGGAACAAGGAGCTGATCCAGAATCAAAATTTGCCAAATTTTCTCATCAATATAATCATAGTTCATATGAATATTATCCACATCCAGCACATCGTGAAAATAATCAAAATCAAAATAAAAATCAAAATAAAAATGATAAACGTAATTTACAAAAATTATCAACAACCAACAACAATGATACTGATGAAGATCAAAACCAATCGAATGATCAATGGGTATTTAGTAAACATTGTTTTTGTGTTGCATTCAAAGCATTAAGTACCGGTGTTATTCTATTTCTAATCGGTACTATAATGTCAATTTTGGGTTTTTTTGCCGATCGTTTATCAATGGAATCAATTCGATTAAATAATGGTACATATATTATGTCGGTTAATAATAATACCAAATCACATCTGCATAATATGACTTATGTTGGTCCAGTTATAATGGGTCTTGGTTTTATTGTCATTATTGCTGCATGTGTTTTAACATTTGAAGTTCGTGATACATTAGGTATAAGAGATGATCCAAAAAATCGAAAAAAATCAACCACCACAACAACAACAACAAATCAACAACAAAGTGATAATAAAACCAATAATGATAGTATCGTTACAATTAGTAATAATAATAATCAACGAAATTATTCAAAAAATTTAAAGAGTGAAAAAAAAGTTATCAGTGCGCCAATAATTGAAGAAACATTGTCGAAAAATCAATCAATCAATCATGATCATAACAACAACAACAACAATGATAATAGGTTGTCAATGATAAAAACTGATTCAAATGTGAATATGAATATGATGATGATTAATCCATCCAATTTAACTTGTTCTTCTTGTTCTTCTCCTTATTATTATTCTAATTATGATTGTTATTGTCGTATTCCATCACCTGTAGATATTGAGCTTAGCGATCCAGAAGGTTGTTCATCATTAAATCAATCAATTACAAATTTTTCATCGTCCACAACAACATTACCGACACCAACGAATAGAAAATGGCGTCAACGTTGTTCATGTTCAGGTTCACCAACAAATTCAATGTTATTAGCATTGAATCAAATTGTCGATCAGATTGATTCAAGTCAATATTTACAACAACCAAGATTTGATAAACGTTTTTCACATAAACAACAACAATTATCAATCAATCAAAATAATCGAATGATTGCATCGATTGAGGATTTATCATCAATTAATTCATATCAATCTGATAATAATGATGATGATGGCTATCGTTGTTGGTCAACGACGACAACAACAACAACAACAAAACCCACCTCATCTTCATCATTATCATTATCATTGCCGCAAAAATCCAAACAAACGTCACAACAAGCAATAAATTTATGGCCAGATACAAATGTTCAGCACATCAATACTACTAATATGGTAACAAAACCAATATATCAGATGAATAATGGCAATAATCATCATCATCATCAAAATACAACATCATCATCGTTTCCATTGCTGAAAGATCTTCGCCATCATCATTAAATTTTGGATGACCAAATGTCTTCCGAATTTTGAATATCAAAGGAAATATATTACATTCAGGAAAATATATAGAATCTATTTTGATCAATATTTCATAATTTTTGCCAAACAAAAAAAACTATATTAGATCAATTTATTAGAATTATATTGTAAATGAATTTATTGTTATTTCTTGTTTAATTTAAAAAAAAAATTTTATTTAATTAAAATGTGGCTATTGTTACTGGGTTTTTTTCGTCGATTCATAAAATTTTTCGGATTTCCTTTATCTTGCTTGTAACGTTTTTTTCTTCAAAGCCAAATTTAAGGGAAAAATAATTTTTAAGCGCAAACACATTTTTCTTCCTTTGATACCAAATAATCTTTATGGAGTAATAATTAAATTCTAAACACGTATACGGTCCAAAAAAAAAATTTCACCCAAAAAAGCTTTATATTATGCAAATCACACTTGTATAAAGTGTGTGTATTTATTTCAACAACAAAAAATTTATTATAAATTAAAATGAAAACAAAAAGTTCATTATAAACAATATAACATTAAAAGCTCATTAAATATGAGCAACACAAATTTTTTTTCACTCTCAAATAAAACGATTTGTTTTGTTTTGTTTGGATCAAACAAAATATCCTAATCCGGTTACCATCATAAATTTTTCAATAAATAATTCTGAATCCAATACGGCAATATGTGCTGCACGACCAATTAATGAATTTGTATTATTATTCAATGCATGATGTACATCATAACGTATAACATTTAATTCTGGCCTTGACATTAAACGTTTGATAATATTATCGGTCATTTCACGATATGCAATGCCTGTAAATAAACAATAAAATTTAATTGATAAATGGATTGATTTTATCACTATCATACCATAATCTGATTGATCATTAATAGCTGCATTACATAGTTCAATATGTGCCGAATGAATTGGAACATAATAATCTTGTGATGAACCACATAATAGAATATTGTTGAAAAATTCCAGACCTGATTTCATACTTAATCGATATAAAAATGTTTGTTTAATATCGGTAGAATCTTTCATTGATAGTTGATTAAGTGATTGTGCACGTTTGAATTTCTGTATAAACCATAGACCTGTGGATAGTAGATTTAAAAAAAATTGAATGAATCACAATTCAGTAGCTTGTTTTTGTTTTCATTTTTACCCATATTAACTAATCCACTACGATTATATGCCAAACCAAGATGTGGACCACTAAGCGATAAAAATGTATGAAATTTATTACGCCATCGTTTAAGGAAATCTGTCCGGGAAATAGCTGCCCGTATAATAATATTGCCCAATGAATGACCGATGAAACTTTTTTTGAAAAACAAAACAAAATTCGTAATAAATGTAATGATAATGTTTTTTGAATGAAAATGAAATTACCTAATTTTAGTTGGTATCGATTTTAATGTTGAAACAAAATTTTCAATTTCATTTATTAAACGTTCAGTTAATGTTTCTAAACTATCGAATGTTTCGCCTTGATTTCTTTGCGACATAAGAAATTCAAAATTTATTGTTGGCAAACCAATTTCCAGATATGTTTTTACTAATCTTAGATCGGCACTATTTCCATCCAATCCATGTACACAAACAATCAGATGAATATCTCTGAAATCCAAACAAACGTCAATTCCAAAAATATAAATTCAAAAAAAAAATGAACTTACTTGAATGATTTAAAGTCTGTATCACATTGAAAATATGGAATTCTTGATGCAAATTTTGTAAAATCACTATAAAATATTAGATTAGGAATTTTATCACCACCACTACCAACAATAATACTTTGACGAAATGTTTCTTTTTCATTTAAAAATGTTAGAAATTCTGAATCAAATAATGATGTACGACGAAATGTTGGTACTGTTGCTGCTGTTGATAATTCATTATTTTTTATTTGATCTTTTTCCTTTTCTTCTTCGAGTTTTTCTTGTTTCAATTGTTTACTGTTGGTGTTTGGTGAATTTCTAACGGATTTCGATACAAACATTGGTGTACGAATACATTTACATGGCCAGGAATCTGTTGTTGTTGTTGTTGTTGATGAACGTTTCATATCAATCGATCCACAACATATCAAACAATGATCTGAACGTAATAATTCCATGAATGTAAATTTTGTATAATTTAAATTTTCTGATTTCAAATCAATATTTGATGATGGTTTTTGTTGTTGGTCATCAATGGTAATTTGTTTTCGATCATCATCAACATCGGTTAAATCATGGAATGATAAGGAATTGTTAATTTTTGAATGATGTGGATTGTCGACAGGATTTTGGCTGAAAGCATGTTGAATTGAAATTTTTGGATTTTCACTATCATTATTTGGTTTTTGTAATCGAATATTTGGTATTGGTTTCATACAAATTTCATGTGATTCAGGTTCATCAATCATTTCTTCCATTGCAAATTCTTTTGGTGGTTTTGGAAAATACATTGTACCGGGAAAATTTTGATAATTTACACTGGGAAATATGTCGAAAATTTGTTCTTTATTTCGATGATTATGATGATGTTTTTTGGATATTTTTTTCACTTCATTTTGTTCATCATTTTCTTCATCATAAATTGTTTTTGGTAATAATTCTGGCCATGAATGACAGCTAATTGTTGATTCGATTGCTGTCAATTTTGACGATGATGATGGTTTTGTCGATTCTGAATTCTGTGAACTTTTCAATGATTTTTTAAAAATTTTATCATTATTTTGATGAAAATCCAGACTTTTTAATTGTGAATAATTTTTAATCATTGAATTTTTCCTAGCCAACATTGAATTTAAAAGTTTAATTTTTCTATTCATTTGTTCCATTGTATCGATTTTATCGTTGCTGTTGTTGTTTGATGTTTCATTGAATAATTCTTGTTTATATAATTCAAATAATTCCATTGTTTTCAATTCGGATTGACAATTTTTTTGTAATTTATTATTATTGGATGATGATGATTGTTTTTGACAATTATCATTATTATTATTTGAATTGAATCGAGATAAAAATGAAAATCGTATTGAATTTGATCTCGGTGATATGGATGATGATGAAGAGGAGGTGGATGTTGTCGTCGTCGATGATGATAATGATAATTTGGATGGTGATTTTTTATCATCACCGCCACCACTACCATTCGTTATTGTTTTTTGATATTCAAATTTTTCTTCAAATATAATGGGCAATGTTTGATAATCACCATCCAATTGTAAACATTCAACATCACATGATGGTAGATTGATAAAATAAGATGATTTTCTTAAATTATCACTTAAATCTAGAAATAAATTAGAATTTTGATCACAAATTGAGCCATTTAGATTTGTTCGTGATTGTTTAATACGGAAAAATGCTTCAGAAAAACGTCGTAAACGTTGAAAATGATGTATTCGAGCTAAATATTGATTGATTCGTTCGGAATTTTCGACAACGATTAAAAAACGTTGCCATTGTTCAATGGTAAGACCACTAAGATAAGCAATATCATGTTCAATTTGATCAATATAATCATCATCAAATTGTTTTTGTTCATTCGATAATAAATAGGAATGGAAATTATTTGCCGGAAATTTTTCCATAAAAAATTCTTCCAAAAACATTTGAATATTTAAATTATTTTGTACATTACGAAGATGATTTTGAATTTGTTGAAAACAATCTTTGGATAATTTACTATGAAAATTATCCAATGAAACTGATACAAACAATTCTTTATAATTAATTTTAGCCTGTGTCCATGGTGTTAATATCCGGTAATATTCATCACAAGCATTTTTAAGATTTATTAATGATATGGACATTATTGATATTAATTTCCATTGAGCAAATTGTAAACGCCATAATTGTAAGAAAAATGTATCATTGATTTTTTTACCATTTACATTGTCCGATTGCGTTGGTGATGGTTTCACCAAAAAACTTGATAGCCAATTTGTTGCTGTTGCAGGGTTATTTTTCGATGTGGAAATATATGGCTGACATAATTGTATCAAACAACCATGTATCGATAATGTTATAGCTGAAAGATGAAAATAATCAAATATCACAGGTAAGGAATAATGTAAACCATTCAATAGATCAAAATGTAAACGTAATTGTCTGGATGATACACAAGAAAATGTATCAAATTGATTGAGAAGAAATTCTTGATCTGAATACCATAGCTGTATGATTAATTCAATGTTAGTTTTTTGCATTTGTTCTAAACAATTTATCATATCCAAACAAATATTCATACGATAATGAATTAAATCATTTAGGGGAATTTCTTCATTTTTATAATTAATTTGAAATGTTTTCGTTACAGACATTCCTTCTATAATACATGATGGTAAAAATATTCGATTTGATTCTTGTTGTTCTTGATTTGAAACATTATTATTACCACAACCATCATCATGATTATGATCATGATCATGATGATTAGTAGTAGTAAAATTTGATGAAAATGATGAATCACTTTTGGTTGTACGAATATTGTTCTTTGTTCGATTCAGTTGTTGTTTTAATTCAATTTTATTTATCAATTTACAATTTGGTAATCTTAATGATAAACGTATCTGATAGAATCTGGATTGAAATCAAATGAAATTTTCATTAATAAAAAACTTTTTTAAAAACAAAAATGAAATACCCTCGTTGAAAAAGATCGATATTGATAAATTTATTAATCTGTATGGAAAAATCGATTATCGCTTGTAGTTCCGGCATCTTTTTGTCCGTTTTAATTGCGGTAAATAAATAAGAAACAAGATCCAAAATGGATCAGGAGAATACAAAAAACGGATAAGAGCAAGCAGCAGCTGGTATTTTCCAATTCTAATATCAAACTAACCCTCTGGTGGCCGATTCTTGATACTCATCGTTGTTATATGATTCATTATTTTTTGGTCTGACGCAGAATCACAGAATGTAAGTAAGAAAAAACCGAATTTGGAACAAATTCTTTCTTTTTTTTGACGCAAACGCTATTGGAATTCTTTGTTAATCATTATTATTTCTAAAAAATAGATGGCGCCAAGTGTCCTATTAAAATTTTTTGATTTCAAAAAAATAAAAATCGATTCAGGAATGATGGATGTTTACCGTTGAATTTCAAAGATTCATTATTGCTGTTGTTGTCGATGTTGATTCAAAAAATAAATAAATAAAATAATGAGAATGACGATATCAACATCCGAAAATTTAAAATTAAATATTTAACAAACAAACATTTGAATCGAATCAAGTTACTTTTATTTATTTAGTTTTGACAACAAATCAATAATGCATGATATTATTAGCATCTCTCTCTCTCTCTTGCTTTCTCTGGAACGAAAAAGGTAAAATTATTTTGATTTTTATTATTTCATTTTCATTCCATTATCCCGAAACAAAAACTAGAAATTCAAAATTTGAAAGACATTCGTTGAAAACACCCGATTCGTATCCACGCAACAGCGACGAAAAAATTGAATTGAATTTCAGTAGGAAAAAACCAAAATTGAATGTGTGTGAGAGAGAGAGAGAGAAATATTTTGTGCAAAGGAATTTTTTTGCTTTTCCCTTAGTGATGTGAAACTATGACCTGGCTGGCTGATGATGATTTTCTTCAATTTTCGCATCAACTTATGGAATGATGGAAAAAAACGCGGAAATTCAAACAAACATACACTTTTTTTTTCTCGGTCGATGGATAATGACAATTTTTCAACATCAACAACATCATCAAAGAAAAAAAAGTAATGTACAGCGGTGATAATGTGTTCAAACATATGAAAAAAAAATAAAATTCCATTCGTTCATTGCCATCATCATCATCATAACGACCACAAATACGGGAGAGAATCTCATTGGAGCCAATTTATTTATTTTTCTTTTTAAAAAAAAAATTTGTTCTTCTTCTTCTGATGATGTGATCTGTTAAGATATGATGACGAAAAATCAAGAATTATGCAATTCAAAAACCATTACATCATTGAAAGCTAGTTGCAAAAAAAAAATTAATCCCATCACCGGGGACATACCATACAACAAATCAAACTGTCATTGGTAGTAATCAAACTGGAAAAAAAAATATTTTTCTTCTTTTAAAATGTTTTTTTTAGGAAGGGATTTGATTTGATTATTTTTTTCGGGTTTTTTTTCAACTTCTTCTCGCTGATTATTCCGGATTGTGATGAGTTTTGATAATGATGAGGAAGTGGAATGTGGATGATTTCTTGGTAAAGAAATCAACTTGATGATTATTCATTAATTAATCTTTTTTTTTCAAAGAAATTTTCTTCGGTCTTATCATTATCATTAAAATGATGATGAAAATTGGCCTTGATCTTTAACATAATCATCCAATCATCCTACTCGTTGTTTGTTTTGTTTGTAATTTGATCAATTTTGCAAAATATAATTTTTTTGTTTGTTGCTTAAAGCATCTTTTTAGACGAAAAGAAAGAAAGAAAGATTTATACATTGTGGCCTACGACCAACAGCAGAAAAATTATGGTGATTCGAAAGATAATCGATGCATATATTTCATCACTTTGTTTGTTTCTCTGTTTGACTTGACCAATATTGAAATTATTGATTTTTCTCGATATTTATTGATCAGAAGAAGACAAAAATGAAATGAGGTTAAACAAAATGAAGGGGTTGAATCAATCAATGTTTCATTTTGTTTTGCTGCTGCTGTTTTTTTGTTGTTGTTCCTGTTGAATATAATTTATTCAATGAAATAAACAAAAACCAAAAAAAATCAGTTGATGAAAAGAGTGGGTTTCGTTCTTCTCTTGATAATCATCATCCCTTGTGTGTGTGTGATGTTTCATTGAATGAAATGAGAACACAGGAACAATTGGGCAAAAAAATAACGAGCAAAAAATAAACCAAACAAAATAATGACGATCTTGATGATGATAATAATTCGAACCAATTCAGCCAAGAGAAAGAGAGAGAGAGAGAGAATGTTTTTGTGGCTCCAAATTTTCTTATGGAACACAAGCAATAATAATAATAATGATAATGAAAAAGCTTCGAGCGAAAAGAAAGAAAGATTTCTTCTTTTTCTTCTTCTTGTTGTTTTGTTTCTTAATTTGTTTTGGTTTTGTCAATTGATCATTTTCGATGATGAAACAAGAAAAAACAAAACGATAAAAGATTGTCTCTCTTTTGATTTCCAGAAAAGAAAAATTGATTGAATAAATGAACCGAATGATTGGTTCCTTATGATTATTTTCTTTTCTTTTTTCTTCTTCTTGTTGTTTGTTTGAAGAATATCGAGAATTTTTCTAGATGAATTCGAGTTTTTCGAATGTTCAATATGCTTTTATTTATAATGTTTGTCCACTTTTTTTTGAAGCGGGAAAAACAGTATTCCGCCAAATAAACAATCCGATTGTCCATTGTTGCTGCTTTAAAGAAAAAACTTGTTCTTTGTTGGTTAATCACTTACCTGCTTGCTTGAAAACAATGACCAATTCAAATAACTTTCAACCGGACAGGACAGGCATTGTTTTTTTCCAAAAAAATCGATAATATTGAGGATTCGTTTTTCCGAATATGGTTAATGAGCTTTGTTTTGGGCAGCAAAAAAAAAGATGGTGAAAATTCTTTTTGATTTCCATATGGATTGAATATAGATATTTTGTGTTGAAATGATAATAACGATTATTCGGTCCGTCAAATTCAATTTCACAGTTGGTTTGGTTGGTTTAACTTTTTCGATATATTTATCGCTCATTAACATCAATTTTGATTTCGACCGTAAATAACACAACAAAAAAAACACTCAATGAATAGAAATTATCATTATTAAAGTCGAAATAGTCGAAATAGTCTATTTTTCCGATTCGAATCTTTTTTTTTTGCTCATTCGAAATTGGAATTTTGTCGGACATTCGAATCTTTTTTTCACTGGGTTTTTGGTCAGTTTGAATTTATTCATATTGTTTTTGTTTTTTCGTTTTGTTTCGAGTGGAAAAAAATAAATCATCATCATCAATGGGAATTGAATTGGTGTAACCAGAGATGATAGAACAACAACAAGCAAACTTGTTACAACAACAACCGTTTTTTTCTTTTCTTAAATAGAACTTGTTCTTTTTTTGTTGACCTACGATCGATAATGATGATGAGATCGAACTGAATTTTGGTTTCTTCTTCTTCTTCTTTATCAATTTAACATTTATGGTGATCATCATCATCATCATCATTCATTGAAGAGAAATAGATTTGGTTGGACATTTATTATCAATAAATTTTTTTTTTTGATGAACCTGTGTGTGTGTGAAATGAAATGATCGAGCCAGCGAACGAGAATTAGGTTAACAAGATATTCAGGTAGGTATTCATCATATGGAAGAGGTCAATTTTTGTTATATTCATTTTGCAAGGTAGATTTTTTTTTCTTTGAATATCAAGTTTTTTTTATTATTATGATTTCTTTATTGATGATGTCTTTTTTCTTTCTTATAGCAACAGCATTTTCGAAAAGAATTTTTATTGGAAAAATACAATGCTGACGGGAACCGAACCGAAGAAAAAACCGGTAAATCTATGCACATTATTTACATTATAACCATAAAAAAACCATATTGTTGTTTTTTCAATTTATTGTTTAAATTTTATTTTTCACTCGGGTAACCAAACACACACATTCCAACCGGGTTGTAAAATCAATGTGACAGTCACAAAAAGCTTAGTTTGATTGAAAAATTTTTCCTTATTATTTCAATCAAATCGATCGATCGATTCGATTGCCATTCAAATCGACAAAATGACAAACAGAAAAACAATTTTGTTTCATTATGATGATGCACAAACAAACACTTAAGGAGATTATCATTTTCATTATCTTTTATTATATTTGTTTCAAAAACCTAATTAGCCTAATTCATTTCATTTCATTTTAGCCATACATACGAACAACAACAAAAAAAGAATTAATTGTTTGAAGAAAATCTTCAAGACCATTTTCATTCAATTCATCCATTCATTCATGCTCATTTCATTTTCATTGGAAAAAATTTGTCAACTAATTTTGCCGAATCCATCTGTTATATATAAAAACGACTGTGTACGGTATGTGTGTGTGTGAAAAAAAAACTGATAAACGTTGAACGGTAACTGCTTTCCACCTTGCTATTTGAAAAATCATTACAATAGAGACCATACCAATAGGTTCCAGGAACATTACCGACATACACACCTTAAAGCCTCTAAGTTCCATGACAAAAATTTTTTTTGTTTCGTTTCATTTTGATCCTTTTTTTTAATATATGACAAAAATACCCGAACCAAGGGATAAAAACTGAATGGAAACTTTATTATTTTTTTTTTTGGAAAACAGACATGCATGTGTGTGTGTGTGTGTAGGTTGCACAAACTCCAAAAAAAAACACTGTATTTTTTATCATGCATGTTTGAAACATAATATAAAAATGGCTTCACTTCACTTCATTCACATATATGGCGCGCATTTGATAAAATTTTTTTTGTTTTTTTTTTGATAAAACAGGAACAGAAAACGGCTTGAATGTGAAAAAACATTCCGACATCCAAATGTTTTTATTTTGATTTTGTTATTTTTGATCTTGTTTTGACACATAGAGATTGTTTGATTTTTTTTTGACATTGGATTTTTCTGTTTTGTTTTGTTTGTCGCCGAATGATACAATATCTTTTCAAAAGAAAAAATTCTTCACCATTTGAATGTGATACTAATCATTCATTCCATCCACAAATCACATACGTGTTGCTTCAAATCACCCCGAACTAAACAAAATTATTGAAATTCTTTGTTAATTATCCAATTGATTATTATCGAATGTATTTTACCAAAGAAAGAAAAAATCATTCATTT